CCTACTCAGTTATAACAATTCACTTACTGAGCATAGTTCATGCCAACTGAATACAAGAATATCGTATATTATACAGAAGAAAATATCACACTGGGATAACAGTAACAAATACTACACTGAATGATCCTCACGTTGAATCAAAACGGATGTTGAATGTTGAACAAAACTCATAATGAGTAAATCAATTGAAAATTGACTTTTCTTTCCATCATATCACAATTATACAATAAAAATATACGTTTAGTATTGGTCCATAAAGGATCCCAAAGTTACCATTCATTATGTTTATCGGGTCCTAACAGTTTTGTTTATTACGAGAATTGAAATTATCGTTGTGTAGTGGTCAGTAGTTAACAAAATTAAATAAAACATCTGTTTAGTGTTTTACTGACATTTTAGCAGTTACTTAGCTTGAATATTCAAGAATAAGACTAGTCTTATGTCAAATATCTTTTACAACAGATAGATATGAAAATGAAGTCAAAAAGGGATAATGTCTCGTTATAATTGCGCTTAAAAATTCAATAATCATGGAGTAAGTATTACTGAGATTGGATAAAGATAACAAGTTGATTGATTCGTCTATTACCTCACATCATCTGTATGGGCCAAAACATATGTCACGCCATTGTCATCTTGAACGAACATAAGAATAAGTCAGAGGAAAACTTATGATGAGCTAAAGAAGACATAAGACCAGATCAAGCGGTTATTGACTTGTCGTCAGAGTCACTTCTTTTGCTGTAGACTGGCCAGTTAGAGCTCATGTAACAGTTGAAATATATGACTAATGACATTGGATCATACAGTATGAAGTCAGTCTCAGTTTTACCATCTTATATATTCTCTATCTTACATTTTTCATGCTTCATTTTCATTTTGAACCACATTTCCCTCCTCACATTTATTTACCATCATGTTCAGCTAATCTCAGAGTGTGGCTATTCGTATTGATTATAATGATCTACAAAGATAATGTTGAATTTCATTTAATATTTTGAATAGAGTATAGTCTATTTTAAACAAAACCTTCAATATATTATAGATTTATATATGATCATAGAATAACGGTAGCTCAAAACGTTTCAGAATTGTGACTTGCATTACATTTGTGGAACAAGAATTACAGTTTAACCATAGTTCAGTCTTTTAAATGACGAACAAAATCTTAACTATACAAACAGTTACATTTTAAATACTTCCATATTATGTTTACATTAATTTATCATATTTTGCACTAAAATTTAATATTGATTTTACAAAAGTAAACTTCCTCTTAGTTCTGTTTCTCTCTTTGTTTTAATTTCTGTTCAGTCCTGGATACTCACTGCCTTCTCGTGGCGGGGGTGTTGTTTACGAAAATGAGAGGACGGAAAGCGAATGTTCGGCGCTTTAACCGGATTCCAAACCAATGGTGCACATAAGCTCCAGGATCCTGCGGGAAAGATGGCGTATGAACTAATTGTTGGTCACCGGCTTCCATGGGACTGAATCTCCTCACGATGTTCCACTGTCTTGTGGATGAGACCTTCAGGTCGAAGGCTCAGGGAGTGGCCCCCTAAGAAAACTACTCGCTTCGGTTTGGGAACCCGGACAGTATCCCAGCCCTCATACATATCGAATGAGATTTGTGTGGCGCATATGTATTTGGTGCCTCTTTGTAACAATATCTATGTGTTGAAATTAATAAATTATAAATTCATTTTCGTGAATATTTGTCAGTCGAATTCTTCAATTTGAACTATCGACCTAGCAACACAATATTTGTGTATATATACACAAAAATGTATACCTCACTTCTCAAATGTAACAGAATCCAATAGCTTAATTCAATTTTGTGAATTATTTTTTTTGCACTTGTGCTAATTCTGTTTTACTCCATTCATTGTCACTTCCTTCTAATAAGGTGCATTTTTTTGTAGATTATATCATGTTACTTACTAATATTCAGTAGTTTATGTCATTTTATCTTGCTTTCTTCTACCACTGAATTTAACACAGTTGTAAAGCGATTTGTCTTTAATGGTATTTTTATACCTTTTAAAGGGTTTGAACACCTTTTTAACTGGACAAATAACTTGTGTCGGATTGTGGATTTTATACGTGAATCAACCATTTGGTGTAAACCATTAAGTGGACTTTTTTTAAACAACTTGTCATATTCATTTTGTTCATTTAATCTATTCACAGATCCTTTCATTTTGTGTTTGTAAACAACTGATAAGTGTTATAAATTTTGCCCTGTGTCCTATTAATGTATAACGTGATGAAAACGCCAATTAGAGGACAGGGAATTATCGACCGGATCAAAGGACGCATAAAACCCGTACGTGAAGTCTAGAGTCCTTATCTGTCCTACTTCCCGCCTAGCCTAGTCTGTTAAGTCCAGAACACCCATCTCAGCCTCTGCGATGTGCATCATTTATTTCAAGCATACTGGGTTTATATATCAATCAAACAGACCACATCGTGCCATAAAATAGAAAATCACATTTGTATAAGATTTAGCCAAAAGTGGCTGTGAATGTGTGAGATAGTGATTGATAGATTGGGCATAACTCAACAACGGTAAATCCTATAATAATAGTTCATAGATCAAGATAAAGCTTATGATAATAGGAACACGAATATGAATAGTTTAGTTATTTAACAATTATACGATAAAAATAAACGTTTTGTATTAGTCCATAAATGGATTCCAACAGTTACCATTCATTATTCTCATCGGGATATAACAATAAGAATCATTAATAAACACAGATGGATATACCAATTTGTAGGGATTCATATTACTTTCTAAGATTTAAGCCAATTTGCATTTAAGTTATCTGAGTTATTTATGCTTTTCTACATTCCTTTTCATTAACAGACCCTCATGTATTTTCCATTTGTTAGAGGTTCTCTAGTTAGAAATTAAAAAATCTACATGTATACAAAAACTAATCAGTAGTATATATGCATGTTTCACAGGTTGAAACTATGAGTCGACTGAAGCTAGACCATCATGGAAAACCTGGAAGCACTGGACAACCGTTTCGTCTTAGCACGGGACTCCTCGGCAGTGTGCATTCATGATCCCTCATCACGCGTGGCTCGGACCCGGGACCTACCGGCGCGCGAGCACTTAACCACTAGACCAGTGAACCGGCATCCAACGGTGTTAATGTCTAACTTCAACCAATCCACGAAGTTGCGCCACGAAGATGCACACTGTTGAGGAGTCCCATACTAGGACGAAACGGCCGTCCAGTTCTTCCAGGTTTTCCATGGTGGTCTAGCTTCAGTCGACTCATGATTTCAACCTGTGAAATTTCTAAAACTCTTCACGAAACTCATTCTGATATATGCATGTCTTCAATTATTCTCATTAAGTCAATAGTAAACTAGAAAAGATTGAATCACTCCTTGAAATCACACTTAATTGATTTACATACAATGACGATATGGAACAAGTTGTTTCAAGTTCAGTATTTAGTGAAAGATATAATGCCATTGAATAACTTATCTATAATCAGTTATATTATCAAGACAGGATCGATATAATGTCATTTCTTTTTTTACCACAATAAAAGGGATACTCATGAAGGTAATATATATTCACCATCCTCAACTGCCATCCACCCCTCCTCTATCTATGATTTGAAATGAAAAATAACTCATTCAATTTAATCTCTTGTTTACTTGAGTTACCATATCAACTGATCTCATAATTATCGTTTAATTATATCCATGTTCATTATACGCATGTTATGTGAATATGTTATTCAATTAGTTAAGTACATTTATAGTAGGTAACAGTTTCTATGACCCAATCGTCTTTTTTTTCTTTTCAAAAAAGACGTTTTTACATTTCAATATAATTTCCAACATTATTCGGTTATTTTGACGTTACATATACATATACATAACATTTCTTAGTGAAACGCCCTTAATTAGTCAAGGTTCGAAATTCATGGAATCATTGGTTTTGGATTGGATACACAAGAGCTCCCTCTCTTCCTCTCTCTCTCTCACTTACACACACACACGTATACAAAGATAGACAAGCATAAAGAAAAAATGAATTCAGTAGATCATTATTTATTCTTTTCTCATTCACTCCTCATAACGACTATTATCTTAGATGATTTGATCCTTTCAACTAAGGGAACGATAAGACTGTTGGTACTTCCAGATTGAGTTTATGCATTATACCAATTACGTAACAGAATTTTACTATTGTTATCATTATATGTATATAAATGGTATGTTTAGTATTGTTGCATTCTATTCATTGTTATAATGTAATGTATATTAGAAAATATTTCTTTTATGATTCAGTATTTAAATATAAAGCTTATGGGAGATCGTTGAAAATCCCTTAATGCCAGATTGGTGTTTTGAGCTAAAACAGAGCCATGCAGTGGTGTGAACTTATAATCCGTAGGGAATAACCCCTCTCACCACCGCCACCACCACGAATATCATATTTCTCAGTGTAGCATGATATTTTTTGAAGTGTTGCATTTCAGGTTATAAGATCTACATTTTAGTGATTTTCATGTCTATCCCACTTTATGATGAATCATTATGAATCAATAATTTTGAGTAGTTACTAAGTATAATAATACAAAGTCTCGGATACAATATTCGTAAGCAGCATGAAACTAATGATTATCTATAAAACGTTTAGTTTTTTTCTGCTAGCTATTATATCAGTCGAAGTTTACACTTTAAAAGTAACTTAATTAAATCACTATTTGAAACCAAGGAACAATAGACACAATGTTAGGTGCCAATGTCCGTTGGTTATGCTTGAGTTATTCCAGTGACTGACTGGTGTTAGAAATATCGACCGTTGAATACTGACTAGGGCGTTAGACACAAGACCTGAAGTCTTTAGGTTCGGTCATGGATACACACTGCCATAGGATTCCATACATCTGATATGTCTAAGAGAGATGGTGTCATGGTAATTATGATAACAGTGATAAGAACTTCACGTGAATTGGGGGAAATGGATGTGTAAATTAAGAATGAGTCAGGGCAGTAATAAACATAAAAAGGTAATCAGTGATATCAGTATATAATATTTGCATACATCTACATAGGCCATAGTAAATAAAGATGATTATAAAAGTTAAGTTTTCACTGGAATTAATCCTGATAACTTCAGCTACATAGAAGAGAGGTATAGTCTTTCTCACTGATATAAAACCAAGAAGATCACTTCAATTTTAATGTGATATTCAAATTATATTTACTAGATGACAAAACATGTTACTATTCAGTGATTGACGAGTCCCTTATCCTAATCTTGTCAGTACACATGTATGAAAGCGTAAAGAGAAGGCTTTCTAGATAGTTTATCCTTGTAAAATTTCCATATTTTTATTGTGAACAACATATATAAGCGAACAGTATTGTTTTCGATTAGATTCTCATCAGGTTTTACTCTAATATACAGTAATATGTATATGCATATACAAAACGATTATACCAATCAAGGCAGTTTATGAGTGGAAAAGATTACATAATAAGTAAAGAGTATAAATTGATAGTGTGATGACAAGGGTACTAGTTGTGATAAGAATAATAAACGCTTGAATAAACGTTTCATAATGGGAAGTAGGTGAATTGGTTGAAGTTAGACACTGATACCATTGGATGCCGGCTCAGTAGTTTAGAGGCTGGGCGCTTGTGCGCAAGATTAATAGGTTCTGGGTTCGAGTCTCACGAGGCGGGATCATAGGTGCACACTGCTGAGGAGTCCCACAATAGGACGAAATGGCTATCCAGTGCTCACAGGTTTTCCATAGTGGGTTAGCTTCAAGTGACTCATAAATTCAACTATTAAAATAGGTCAATGATTAGAAAAGTATAGACACTGAAATAACATTCATAAAAGATTATGAGATTACGCAATAAGGAGTGTTCAGATAATTGGACTGTGAAACGTATATTTGAGGAAAAAAAGAAAATCGTAGGAAGGGGGATACGATAAACAACTTTAAATGATTTATTTCTGTCTACTACATGACCGCTATCGATCAATTGTGATAGAACCGAGCTGCGTGTATTCTTGACAGTATCTTATCCCAACAACGAAGGGAGGTGTTCACCAACACTTAGAGTAAAGCCTGATAAGGATCTAATCGGAAACAATATTGTTCGCTTGTATATGTGGTTTAATCCTTGTAACTGAATTTATAGGAGTAGTCTATATTAGCATACACACAAAGAAGAGTTTATTATCTCTTTTTTTAATGACTAATATCTATTTAATACTTAAGTTTATCAGTCAATTAAAGCTAGAACATCATGGAAAACCTGGAACCACTGGATGGCTATTTCGTCTTAGTACGGAACTCTTCAACAGCAAGCATACAAGAACGAAAAAGTCATCCAATGCTTTCAGATTTTCCATGATGGTCTATCTTTAATTAACTCATGAACTTTGTTATATCTCAAGGCCGCCGATTAGAGGGTAGTGACTTGTCGATCGGATCAAGGATTCAGAGTCTCGATAGACTATTCTGGTCCGTTGTTCCCGACTCAGCTAACTCGACCAAGAAGTCTTGGTAAGACGTAGAAAGTGTATTCTACAGACAACCAGAAGATACCAGGTCAGGTCAGGTCAGGTCAATCAGGCACACAATCAAGCGTATTTATACAAATATATATAATCGATTTTGCCATGGAAGTTTTTAAACATTTAATCGATAAGTTCGTCGATCGACTATGTGTGTGAGTGGTAAGAAATGCCTCAGCATGCATCTGCATACCAGCTCCACAAAGATAAAATTACAAAAGATGAATTTGTTGGGGATCTATCGTCCTCAACAAACTCGACTAATAAAAGTACTACAACCTCCACTTTTACTGATACTAATATCTGTCTTTGATCTTTTTTGTTAAATTTTAGCAATCCCAAGAAGAATTAAATTTAGATCAATTAATTGAAGTTCTTAGTTATGATAAAAAAGATCTACCAATTGAATTAACTGAAAAAACGATTGCCAATAATCAACGTCAAGTTGGTAGTAGTAGAGCTAAAATTTTAATGGTAAATAAATTTGTTTTAAAATTTATTATTAGATGACAGGTTGTTTAATGGTAAACAACAAGATAACTTAGTATTCGTCAACATGATGTACCTGAACTCTTGAAGATGGTGATAGTTCATGTGAGCCATAAACTTGCATCGTCTAACTTCACAGTTCATAGATGTGATCACTGATGTATTCAGGCTACAATTTATCTTTTGTAGAACCGATATATTTATTATTTATTTATTTGAATACATAAATATTCGTACAAAAGAGCCCTGAATATATATGCGCCACACTTCATCGTTCGATATATGTGAGGACTGCGATACTACCAGGGTACTCAAACCGAAGCAGATGGTTTTTTTAAGAGGACACAATCGGAACTTTCGACCTAAACGTCTAATCCATAAAGCAGTGGAGCAACGTAAGGAGATGCAGTCCCATGGTAGCCAGTGACTAACAATAGGTTCATACGCCGTTTGTTTCCTTAGGATTCTGGAGCCCATGTACACCACTCGTTTGGAATCAAGGTTTTCCAACTCCCCTACGTGGATCACCCATATCTACCAACCCGGTTAGGGCACCGGGTATTCGCTTTTCGTCCTCTCAATTTCATAATCAACAATAATGTCATGAGAAGGCAGTGATTAGGACCTCCCTGACAGTGACTGTATACGCGTGGCAATGTGAGAGCATTTGGAGAGGGGGAGCTGCCTCTCCTCACCCTCGACAGTATCAGGGCAGTTGAGGGCACTGAGATATTTGCAATTGACTAATTATTGATTATAGATCGATCATAGTTTTGTTTAGTCACTTAGTTCTGATCTCATCCTTGTAGTATACTTTCAAGTCACTAACCTGTACACTCACAATAATCCTATGTATACATGGTGTATTTGTCTATAAAAGTTTAATAATAATAATAATGATAATAATAATGATGATAATAATAGTAATAATAATAATAACCATGTCAACCATTATTGATTATATTGAATATTTGTCGTGCTGTGGCGTGTACTACTGATGTTGATAGATATAAGTAGTATGTATCACCAATCTAAAGTGCAATGCTTGGAGGCAAAAGGTTAAAACTAATTAAAGAAAAGAGAACAAAAACGTCTGAGACGGTTGATTGAAATTTTGTAATGAAGTATTTACTATATGGTTTTCAGATTTTACTAAAACGTTCTGTAATTTTGTGTTCGCTACAGTGCTACATCACAAATAGGTCTACACTATTTGTATTATGACTCTCAGATATTCCGCTTGTCATGAAACCTGGATATTTTTGATTAACAATGATGCAAATTACTGAAGAGTATAAACTAGAATGAAATAGCTTTATAGAGCTGATTAACTTTTAATCTATCTGAAAATGATGTTGGTTCATTTTTCTTCTGAACGACATCATCAGCACAAACTTCAGGTGGGAGCGATGACTTAACAGAAAGGGTATAGTGTTAGGTTACGTAACGTACAAAGGAAGTCCCTCGTGTCCTTATAATAGCCTTAAACTATTATTACCATGAATTTATTGTTCTGAGATTCTGATTTAGTCTTGTCTCACAATGGATGTGACTGCATTCACAGAACCAGTTAACCTAGTAAATATATACAGACGAAGCAAAACTTTTAGGTCTGTTAGCCAAATAATTAACTACAGAATGATCAATAAAATCGTGATTTGATTTAGAGCTTCCCTAGCTATTCCTTACCCTGTTAGGGATGTTAGATCCTCAGAAATCACTTGATAAATGTCTTATTTTTGTAATTGTATTTTGGAAATTTGAATTTCTTGTTTTCGGGCCAAAAGCGGCTATTTTCATCTTCATATGATATTTCCCACTTCGAGGACCTTAAATGTCATTGGTTCTTTATCCTTTTTGATATGATGATTTGTAACGTTTTCTCAAGGACATTTTTATGTTGTATATATATGCCTGAATTGTGCTTGTGGTTGTTCGTACTTCTGACTGAACTTCTTTCTCTAGTTAGCGGGGCTTGGATGAATCGGAGAAGTTAGCTTATTTGGTCATTGTGTTACTGTCTTCGTTTCTTTCGCAGATTTAGGTGAATTCTTAATCTCTTCAAACATAGCACACCTAAATTGTAATTGTCAAGAAATGCAATTCCCTATGTTCCCTTAGTACTTTCTGATGAATATTTTACTTAAATCACTAGATACCGATTTCCTGAACCACAATAATCTTCTACTCTTGGAATCTTAACGGAAAATTGAAGGTGGGAAATATAGAAGGAAATTTGTTTTGAAGATAATTTACTGTACAGAAAACAACGGTAATTCTTGAACTATACATATTTAGAGGCTTCTTGAAAACAAACTGAAAGGGGTCATAAATTTGGTAATTCCTCAACTAATACTATAGAAACATAGCCCGCCGTTTTCTAGAATCTTCTGATAACTTTTTAAAGAATACTGATTACTTGAAGTAGTTTTCTATTTTCTAAGTCCCAACACTTTCACACTAGTTTTTATATTTAGCCATATATCCTATTTTAAGATCTTTGATCCTTCCTACATTTGTTCTCTTCTTTTAAAATAACAGCGTGGAGTTACTGAACAACAATTATTAGATCTTGCTCATTCAGCACGAGCATTATTTATGAGTGAACCAGTTCTTGTGCATATTACTTCACCATTGATTATTGTTGGTGATTTACATGGACAGCATACTGATCTATTACAATATTTTAAACGATGTGGTAAACCACCAGATCAAAAATATTTATTTCTTGGCGATTATGTTGACCGGTTAGTAAGTGATTGTTCAATTAATTATTGATTCATCACTATCAATATTGTAAAACTCGGATTGTCATTGTTTTATCAAAAGTTGTCGTCAGCGCTGTTATAGTTAACAGTGTGTCATCGCTGTTATGTACATTTTGAGTCCATTATGTCGTCAGTCCTCCTTCTTTTACTTGACAATTGAGAACTCACTGTCATTTCCACTACGTAAAGTAAAAACACAAAAGACTGGTGAAATATGGATTTATTGACTCACCAAAGAACACATCAAATAAGTCGCAAAGCCAATCCATCCTTAGATCAAAATACAACCACTGATATAATAATTTTTACATATTTTTAATAGGGTCACATATAGGGGAAAATATATAGTTACTGTAGAAACATGCACACATTGAATGTAGCTTACTTTAGTCGATACAAGGAATAGAATCGGCGCACTGAACGAAAGTTCACACATTTCATCTTGATTGAAACTTATACTGAAATGATACAAAAAATATCCAATAATATCAGATATTAATAATTGTATCCTTTGATATAATTGAGTAAAGAATGAAGAATGGATTACATTAGACAACATACGAATCGAGAACATGTACAACTGTTCACCAAGTTAGTAGCTTATGTCTTACTGTATTACTGAAATACTTGAAGAGAATCGGACACATTCAAAACCACTACCTATCACGTCGGGTGATGTTGTGTAGTGTAAGATTAGGTTGGAAAAAAGCTATGGACGTTTTAACCAAAACATGGAATCACTTCATGAAGTCATTGACAATTGAACTGAACCTTATTAAAAGGCGGCGACTACGTGGTTGAGATCAGCATGATTATCGTAATCAGTGGTTGGAGACTTTGAACGACATATCTTAAAATCATTTGCGATGGGGCAGGTGCCTCCATTCATTGTCTTCCCCCCAAATTCTGATCTTCTGAATGATCTGAAATGATGTTTTATCTCACTGATTTATACTTTTCTGAATCGTACCTTTAATGATCAATCTTTTCTATTACCACTGATACTGTTGCTATCTCTACTACTTTAGGATTCGACCTGACCATTTCATCTCGCCGTGCTAATGGGTTATGTCAGTTCGAACGGATGTAACTACGTACCAGGTTCTACGTTGCAACTGAGTGATAGTATCTTTTACACATCAACAAAGCTATACAAATTCATATCTTTAGACCAAAACCTTGTATTTAGATGGAATTTGTTCAACCCTAAAACCCTAGCCTAGCCATCTATGCAGTCTGTACCAGATAGGGTTAAAATTAGAGTTTTTATTCTCTCTTTGACTTGAACTTCTTAAAATTCTTACTGATAAATATAACTAAATTATTGAGTTATACTTGCACTTCTGCCTGACAGTAATATTATTATGTTACATTACACTTGATTGGTATTACTGTTAGGCAGTTGGAGAGAATCAGCAAAAATTAATTCCAATGGTTGAGATCATGAGTCAATTGAAGCTAGACCACCATGGAAAACCTCGAAGCATTGAGCGCCCGTTTCGTCCTATTGTGGGACACCCAACGGTGTTAATGTTTAACTTCAACTAATCCACGAAATTGAGTGACACATCCACCATTGTCATCAGTGAGTTACTATCTAAAAACAGACACGACTGAACTCTGGTCACTGCCTCTCACTAGAACTCCAGGAAATACCTCTTGGACACCGTCACTAGGACTTGTCAGTCCTGGGTTCGAATCCCTCGAGGAGGTCGTGGATGCTCACTGCTGAGGAATCCCATAATAGAACGAAACGGCCGTCCAGTGCTTCCAGGTTTTCCATGGTGGTCTAGTTTCAATGGAATCATGATCTCAACTATTGAAATTATTACAATCTCCACAAAACTCCTTCTAAAAAAATCAATTCACCTAGATTTCATTTTAGTTGGCATTTGTTCACATAGTGTATCTGAAACTCAGGTTCAAGGCCCCTAAGTGATTATTTCAAACCATTTAACATGAAAACATAAAACATGCGATGTTACTTAGACTAATGGCCAAACTACAATTTGATTGATAGAGTTTGATCATAACCAAAAAACTAGCTAAACATGACTTAGGTCACTACTACTCAGTACTGTGTAGAGCAATGTTGAAAAGGTAACTTGAAAGAGACAGTTCTTTGTTTCATTACTTTGTTAATAAAATCAGTTGATTTAGTTTCATGTCTTATCATTAACTGCAAATAGGTTAAATTTGCAATCCAGTGATGACATTATTATAAGTACAGTTTTATATATTTGATGAAATCATAGTGTCATTTATTGTATATCATCGTAAGTAAACTTACCATCTTATATTAAAACAGGTCATTCGAAAGAAAAAGCTCTTCCCATGTTACATTTATGAGGATTATCTCGATATATAGTTTATTATAGTGATAAGCTAAGATTATCTCTTGATTCTAAGTTAAGTAAATTGACTGATGTAGATATTAAGTCATAAATTAAGCTTAGTTATAATATCACTGATCATTGAACGGCTGTTCCATCCTAATATGTGACTTTTCAGTAATGTGAATCCAAGGCTACGTAACACAGACTCTAACGCATCACCTTCGGTCTCGAGCACGAATGATTAACCTCTAGACCAATGAACATACACTCAATGGTGTTAACTTAAAATCTATGACAGCTCTATAATCTCCACAAAACCATATACTGATAAATGGACTAAGTAATGTCAAATATTGGGACAGTTAAAAATACAAACCAGTGAACATTCATTCAAACGTACAATGAAAATATGCTATCTGAGTAACTAAAAATATCCCAAGTGTGATCCCGTGTTAGGTTAGTGGTTCAAAGATGAACAAAATATCTATCCTATGATCCTTGTGTTTCAGTTTTATTCGTAGTATTGCAAGTCTGTGGTGAATACAGACGGTATTCTTCATAATAACCTAACAATTCATTAATGTTAAATCCTTCTTTCTTTGTTGAAAAAAAACCCGGTTATTTAAATGTTTTGCTTAAATCATTCCATTTCATATTATAATGTATCTTCGTTTGTTTCAATTGAATTTCATTTATTCAGTGGTAGACAATCGTTGGAAACAATTTCGCTTATTTTGGCTTATAAATTAAAATATCCTGATAAATTAGCTGTTTTACGAGGAAATCATGAGTGTAGTCGTATAAACCGGTAAGTTTATCAAAATACTATGAAGTAATTTATGTGCTTACTTGAAAAGTTACTGTCGATATTAGTTAGTAGGTTAACAACTAGGTTGTGCGATGAATTGAAGTTTAGATCTATGTTTTTGATTGTTTTTTTGAATCTTCCTATTGATGTTTAGGACTGTAATTGATCATTCTCTTATTGTTATATGTGCACCTTGTACCTACATCCCAGAATTGATGTACATTCCGGAACTCGAACACAAAACCGTTCATCTAGCTCACGAGTCTCGAATAGGACGAAACGTGCGTCATGGATTCCACGGATAGCCACTATCCATCTTCGCTTATAATGCTTGAGACTTAAGGCAATATTAGGGCACAGAATGCACATACGCCAATAAGAGACTGATCAATTGCAGTCCTAAATAATGATGGAAAGATTCAAGCAAACAATACCGAATGAGTTTATAAATTTGTTGTCATATAACTTGTAATATAATCTGCTGAAAACAAGAAAGTTTACTGTTAATGTTGTATAGACCACGAAAACTCTTCGATCTGGTCTGAAATATAGATATTTCTAACTATTCGAATGAAAGACATTTGAAAGGTTAATAAATGATATTTACCAGATAGGAATACAATTAATGATCACTAACTTTTGTTTTTCATGCTATACTACTTAATAATAGAAAGTAGATTGATGATTCCCTAGCAATGTATCTGTTGATTTATCAATCGATTAAATTCGAAATGTGTTCTAGTTATATATAGAGTGATTAAAGTATGTAAATTCTACGCAGTCACGGGTTTGAACCTCACCTCAATTACGTTGGATTACGCAGAAGCGTGGTATCCTTAACTGTCATACAAAACATCTGCCTCAAATTGAAGTCCTTAAACTTCTACCTGATGATAGTATAGCAATAACGTAATAACACTTTAGTATACAATATTGAAAAAATATTGATTTAGATATATCCCATGATTTACTAATAGAATATTTCAGAAACTTACTTAAAACACTTGTCTAGACAAGGTTTATAATCGATATAAAAAGTACTTCTAACAACAGAATATCAACAAGCATCAAATAAACCAGCGAGATCTGATGTCCCAATCCGTTATTTAATCAAATCGGAAATATCAAGTCAGATCTCTGAAAGGATTAATCTCCTAAAGTGCTATGCACTACTACATCACTTTCACATTCATAGTTTATTTCAGAAAAGGTGTGACATTCTGAGTTGATAACGTATTGTACTATTAATACTAATAGTACTGTGTTGTGTGCTACTGATGTCAACAAATATAAGTAGTATGTATCACAAATTGAAAGTGAAATGCCTGGCAGTAAATTATTGAGAAGATTGAACAGAAGAGAACGAGAACAGAGAGTGATTGATGAGATGAAAGGAAAGAACAATGAAGTCGTAAACAACCGATAGATATTTCGCAAATGAAGTATATACTCTATGGTTCTCAGATGTTACTAAGAGATTCTGTAATTTTTTTTCTAACTCACGTTAGTTATCCGAGTCTGTGTTCTCTTTTATTGCAGCACTATTCAATGTTAATCGTTTTATTAACTAGAATCTGTTCATCAAATTAACTGAATTGAATCTTCATTTGCTCTAGTCATGAAAACAATTCAAGGTTTGAGATCGTCAGTCAATTGAAGCTAGACCACCATTTAAAACCTTGGAGCACTGGACGGCCGTTTCGTCCTATTGTGGATGTGCACTAATGAGGAGCCCTACAATAAGAAGAAACGGCCGTCAAGTGCCTCCAGGTTTTCTATGATGGTCTAACTTCAATTGACTCATGATCTCAACCCTTGAAATTACTATAATATCCATAAAACCCCTTCTGATAATGAAGACATTTGTTTTTTCCTAAAATATTTTTTTCAATTGATCTTTTATCATTCATCTTATTAGTATCTACGGTTTCTATGATGAATGTAAGCGTCGTTATTCAACAAAATTATGGAAAGTATTCACTGATTGTTTTAATTGTCTTCCTTTAGGTATGTTCTAATGTTAATATATTTCATTTCATGAATTACATTTGTTTTGAATATTGTTAAGATAAACTGTACTGCCACGATTGAATAATTTAATTTTTATGGTACTATCTAGAGTACTAGTAGAAAGCAAACAAAACGCCGTAGTATTTTTGCTTATTTTAAGATTCATTAACATTTCCCACATATGATCTTCACAGTGGATGTGGAACGCATAATCATCTACATGATAGATGTGTATTGCTGTGTTGAAATTTGGGCCGTTGTTATTCCCTTTTGTTCCTCAACATCATCATCATCATCCAATATTGTTAGTATTTTTATTCTGTAGTTTAACATGCTCCACATCCACCAAAGATGGCTTTTCAGTTAAAACGTCAGGAATCCATCTTAAAACTATTGAAAAACTTAAAAACCGACTCAATTTCACTGATCTACAGATGATATGCTAACCGCAATGAATAAGCGGTTTTGTTGGGATTCTTTAAGACATTATGGATGGGATCGACGCAATTATTTGCGCCTGTTACCTCTCGTGGGGTATATACCGCTGACCGGGATTCGCCAGCCATATCTGTCCTGAGCAATCCTTTCCAATCGTTCTCAAGTGCTGGTCATTCTTTTGATATCTGCCGTCAATTTCCAACACAATGTTTTATTTTGGTATTACCTCTTTCCTCTTACCTTCAATATCCTGAATTGAAGCTTGTCCTGTGATTTAATTTGATGATCTCCGCAATGTGTATTTTATCCGCCTTCGAAGTCTTCGCTTAATTTCATCTTCAGCTTGGAAGCTGATATTTTCTCTTTCAGAGAAGGTTGTCGCTGATGGTATCCAACTAACAAACATTGGGTATCTTGCATAGACAGATATTTATAAATACCTACAGTTGTATTTGTTCTCTAAGTTCCAGCTCCGTGAAAATTTAAAATTAGAACTTAATATCTAACCGGTCAGTTCCCTATATGCTTCTCAATGGTCATTCATTTGTTGTCAATATATGATTTCTTAAAAGTCATGATCTGACCTTTTTTACAGTTATGTATAATGTTTTGTTCTTTCTGATATTATACTATACAGCCGCACTAGTTGACAATAGTATGTTTTGTGCACATGGAGGATTATCACCAGATTTAAAGAAATTAGAACAGGTAAGTTGTAACATAGTGTTCTTTATTAATAGAGAGGTTTATGGAGGTTATATAATTTTATGGCTTTATTCATGAATTGATCATAATTAGACAACTACTAAGAATTAGGAAGTACCGGATAACTATTCTGTTTTTAGTAAAGGACTCAGAAGTGAGTATTCATGGCATCATTGCGAATATAACTCATGACGTTTAAGACACGTGGAAAATGCTTGATCTTTAGACCACTTAGTTAGAATCCGTTGGTTTACACGTTTAACTTCATCAGTTTAAAGGTAAGGTGTTTACCGAGTGTCCTGGAGGTCCTTGGTTTGATTCATGAAGAGGCTATGAATTCACACTACTGAAGAGTATCATACTAGGAAGAAACTATTGTCACGTGTTTTTCGGTCGTCAGGATTATTTAACTAGGATCAGTTCGTGGTGTAAACTGTAAAACACAATATTTTTCCTCTTTTAATTTGTAAAGTTTTTCAGTTGTCTCGACATTGATAATCAGGATTTTGATCAGACTTAGTTGGGAATATATACATCCAGTGAGGATTCTATTAGGTCATATGTCTTCATGGAATAAGTGGAATATGACTAGCAGTGGAATCCAAAGTGTGAATTCATATTTTTTTTATTCACAAGGCACTGGTTATATGAAGCTGATAGCTCTGTGGACAATACTTTGTACTGGATGTGAAATATATTGTTCTCAAGTCTTGAGATTACCATCATCACAAGGACTCAGGCGCATTCAACTGATGAATCCTAATAGGAAGAAACGCAAGTCCTAGATTCTGCTGATATTCTCAGTCGACTTCTCCTTCTTTTATTTTGTCTTGTTTTACTTTCTTTTTTCAGTTTTATTTAGCTTTTTTTAACAGAATTTCTGTTTATTTACTTTTGAATTCTTTAATATTTTATGTGTTTAAATCACTCCGCTTCTTTTAAAGTTGAATGAAATACGACGTCCAACTGAAGTGCCAGATATGGGTATTATTTGTGATTTATTATGGTCAGATCCTGATGGAGTAAGTTCAGAATTATAGTGTGTCCATATACAGTAGTGATAATATTACTTAATAGAAGATAGTTGACAGGAGCACCTAGGCCCTGATTTTTTGTTGGTTAATCATCATCAGTAAGAGAATTTGAACTCATATCTCCCTGTTTCATATCTTAAACGCTGAACCTACTATTGTGATATATCCTAGTGTCTAGACTGCTAATCGATCAATAAAATTCGATTAGCACTAAGGGGACTAGACAAATAGGACATTAGTTACACCTTTGTGATCAATCACTGGAGATCGTGACAGTGATAGTTTTAACTGTGAACTGAAATTACCTGAAGAAGCATTGGAAATCAGAGAGAGAGAGAGAAGCTAATCAATAATACACAAACGAAAGCTTACACTTTATTGAATCTATTAAAACCAGGTCCATTTAAAAGATTCCTTCAGACTGTTAAGATTAAAACTTATTGTAAACGTTTTCAATATTCAGACATTGCTTTTGGGTAAAATTCTGAAAGCTTTAGACAGAAATTGTTACCTGTTGGAGAATTTCAAATGTGAGGTAATTTTTACACCCATAGCATTTTGTGTGATGGCTGAGTTAAGACTTAAACCATTGATTTCAGCATACTAGTCTGTAAGTATTGTGATTATCACCTAGTCGAAATATCATTATCGAAGTTCTAGAGAGAAGCCGTGACCAGCGGAGCTAATCCGTGTCGGGTAAAAACAGGTATCTACCTCAGTACAATGGAAGATGGTCGAGCAATTTCGTGGATTGGTTGAGGTTAGGCATAAACACCATTGGATGCCGACTCAGTGATCCAATAGGTTAAGCGTTCGCGCGAGAGACTGAGGGCCCTGGGTTCGAACCTTGCTAGCGGGATCGTGGGGGCGCACTGCTGAGGAGTCCCACAATGGGACGAGAAGGCAGTCCAGTGTTTCCAGTTTTTCAATAGTGATTTAACACCAATCAGTTCATAACCTTAACCGAAATATTATTAGTTAGATTCAAAGTATGAATCATGAATGCTTACTCTGAACGATATTAATCAATGACGATACAGCTAATTAGTGCTCAGTGGTTATCAGTGTAACATATGAAAACTACTTCCTTTTATAAATGTCCAGTTCAAACTTTTAGACTACCTTATTTTTCCTCAAAAAATGTGTGCAATTATCTCAATGAACATTCCTATTTTAGATTTGTATAAATTCATCAGTTATGGCTGTCATCAAATATTTGCAACTTATGGGGGGATTTAAATAAATCATCATTCTGATAATAATCATGTGCTCACTAGTGATTAGCTTCAAGATAGATTTCCTGGAGTTATAGTGAGAAGCCGTCACTAGTGGAGTCCAATCCATGTCAGGTAAGACAGGTATCTACCTCAGACAATGGGTGAATGGATTAGCAGCCATTCATGGATCTATGGAAGTTAGACATTAACGCCGCCGGATGCCGGTCGGCTCAATGGTCTAGAGGTTTAGAGTTCATGTACAAGATCGGTGATCCCGGGTTTAAGTCCCATGTGTGAGGTTGTGGATGCGCACTGATTAGTAATCCTATACCAGGACGAAACAGTCATGTAGTACTACCAGGTTATCAATTATGGTTTAACTTACATCGATTCATGAATTCAACTATATAAATTACTGCAATCTCCACAGATCCCCATTTTGATTTACAGATGAATATATATGGTAGTGAATAAAGTGAGTATTATTTATATATATAATGTGGTTTTTAAAGTTATTTCAACAAGATTACACTTATACATAATGAATAGATTAAAAAGAAAATCATTTTCTTCATATTATTTAGTCATATGCTGGTTGGAAAGAAAATGAACGTGGTGTTTCCTATACATTCGGTGAAGATGCTTTAATTCGTTTCATGAATGATTGTAACGTTAAGTTAGTGGTTAGAGCACATCAAGTTGTTGAAGATGGTTATGAATTTTTTGCTGATAAAAAGGTAAATTTCGAATAAAATAAATGGGGAAAAAATATTTTTACTTACATTTGTATTTGTATTTAGATTAGAAAAGGTTTGGAAATGGCTTAGTAGTAACATTTTGATGGAGTTTTGTTCTCTGAGCTGGATGGTTTGGTCGTGGAGCTTTCATCGTTCTTCTGAACGACATTAGCAGCAGCACAAACTTCAGATAGAAGTGAAGTGTTCGAATTTCTCCATATGTGTTTTACAGCTTGTTCTGTGCACCTCGATGTTGATTGGTTCTTGTTGACCTTAGATCTATCATTGTTTACTTCTTTGTTTTGGTTGTGTCTCCCATTGGTTTGATTTTTGTTCCTATATTTATGCATGATTTTCCTGATTGGTTGATAAATTGGATTGATTTCAATATGTTTGTTGATTGCTGATTGACCTGAGTACCAGGCTTCTAGAAATTCTCTGGTGTTTTTGGAGTTTCCTCTGTCTAAGATTTCCACATTTTTCCAATCGAATGAGTGTCCGCAGTTGTCCACGTGCATTGATATAAGTGAGGAGATATCATGGCGTCTGACTGCTAATTGATGTTCATGTAGGCGGAGGTGAAGGAGGCGTCCGCTTTGTCCGATGTAGTGTTTTTCGCAGTTGGCACAATTTATTTTGTAGATGATGTTTGATTTGTCTTCCTTTGTTATTTCATCTTTTGGTTTGCATAAGATTGATTGTAGTGATTTTGTTGGTTTGTGTGCCACACCTATCCCGAAGGTTTTCAGCAGTCTCGTTGCGGTTTCTGATATGCCTTTTATATATATAAAGGCGATCCTTTTGTTGATTTCTGTGCTTAACTTGAGTTCTGATGCTGCGTGCGGTTGGTGTTTTTTGATGAAGTTGATTGGGTAGCTGTTATTTTGAAATACGTCCTTCAGGTATTGCTCTTCATTAGTTTGTGAAATTGGGTATGATATGAATTCAAATCTATCAGGGAGCATGAATTCGACCGAATTCGCGGATGATATGTCCTACTGATGAGTGACAGCTAACATAATGCTTAAAGGAAAGAAGGCTTTATTTTCGACGATTTTCATCTACTTAAGAGTCATTACTTATTCATAAAAACGATATCACCTCCAAAATTCATTTAATCAGTCAATCTCTTTAATTGTTATTACAATTAGAGGTTTGTGCTGATGATGTCGTTCAGAAAAACGATGAAAGCTCTGTGACTAAACCATCCAGCTCAGAGAACAAAACTCCATCAAAATTACAAAGGGTTTACATCATACACATACACAGCCTTCGATCAACCATTTGTATCTCACGGTGTGTTCTATAATCTAAGCTGTCTTCTCTTCTGGTCATCAACTGTTCTGCCTATATTATACTTTCAATGTACTGAAACTCTTCACACTATTTGAAGACTATGACAACTTCAAGACCACATTCTTTAATCATTCACGTACATACAATTTTGTGAATGGCGTCCGCTACATTATAACAAAATAATAAATGGAATATTCACGAAGTGGCTTGTTTGAATCTGTATTGTGATAAATGCAAACTGCTGAAATTATTAAGAGGTGTCAAAACTTGCATCCCAACTGATTGGACTTCAGAACCAATGTCGTATGAATTTGTTATAACTTGTCAATTGAATGCTACTTGTTATATTTGGTCGCCGCTGATCGTTGTGTCGGAAACGCCTATCATTTATATTCGAAACGAGGGACCTCTTTAATTCCCACGACGCGAAAGTAAGAACACAAGACTGGTATAAGTGAAGATTTATTAACCCCTAGACATGACGGGGTGAAAAAACATTCTGAACCCTCAATCTTCAAATTAACGAGTCAAAGTCGGCCTGTAACTGGAAAAAATTCAGTGTAAGTATTTCAAGCAATCAGCATACAAAATTCTCGCCGGTGTCCTTCAACGACATTGATTGTTAATTAGTCATACAGTGTTTTTCATTACCGTGCTCATCCAGATAATGGCTATCTCTTCCGATCAATTACAATTGCTATTTGAGCGACATGATGCTCCCTGTGGTCCAGAAATGTCCATTTCAGAGACATGCACTGTAGCGGGTTCAACTCCTATTGTCCGCGAAACACAAACGCTGACTTGTCCAGCTCACAGAAAGACGACGTCTTATTGAATACTCAATAAATTATTGCTGTACTTGCCCACGAAGAAACAGATAATGAATCAAGCATCATAATGAAAATAGCTGCATTAAATGGAGCTCATCATTCTACGACAAAAGCTCCTGATGATTGTACTTATCAGGGTAATCTTATAAAGATGTCATTTACCTTTGAACAATTTGAAGCCGTGCTGGAGCGTCAAGAAAAACGTTCGAAACAGTTCCAGATTCGTATTATAGAGACACTAACTCAGAAAATGAACCTGAATCAAGAAAGGGTTACGGATGACCCTTTCAAATCTCATGTCGACCACATTATTAGTTCTATCCATAAATTTAACTTTGATGGTTCGGCTGGCATTACTTTTGAAATCTGGTTCAAGAAATACGAAGATTTGTTCAAGGTCGACCTCAAAAAAACCTGAGAACTCCGCGTAGGTCAGAATACTCTTACGAAAACTTGGAACGGTTGTACATGAACGTTACAGTAACTTTATCCTTTCAAAGAATCAAAGAGATTTTTATTTTGATGCAACGATTGATATTTTGTCGCAAATCTTTGCTGAACAGTTATCCTTGTTTAATATTCGTTATCAGTGTCTCAAGATAAGGAAAGCAGGTGATGGTGACTCGGTGAAGCATGCGGGTTTAATAAACCGTGAATGTGAGCGCTTAAAACTGTCAGCAATAACAGAAGATCAGTTTAAGTGTCTCATGTTTGTGTGCAGCCTCCAATCTCCCGAAGATGCTGATATTAGAACCAGAATTTTGAGTAAAATTGGACAATGACCGTATATAACACTACAGGAAGTAACTAATGAGTGCCAGAGATTGGTAAACTTAAAAGAATTGTTAGAAAACAAATGATTAGACATAGATGAAAATCCAGGTCACCAGTTACAACCAATGTTTATTCCATTTTATCGATTGTCTAATTTCTTTCTTCTACATGTTACTCTGTCTGTAAATTCAAAAGACCGTGATAAATAAACTCATCCTCATGTGTACAGATTATCCTTTCTGGAATCTTTAAAAGAATTCAAATAGACTTTGAAGAGTCCTCAAATTGTTTGTAGGTTAGGGTTAGATATATGGAGTTGGAATTAGAGGTTCTATCACTGAATGACATCAGCTATATTGTCAAAATGCTCTGTAACCGTTTAGATGAAAGAAATTATTAAAAAAAGTATGTGTGGTGCTATCTGATCAGTTCATCAACAAAATGTGAGTAACACCAGTTCAGAATAAATGGTTTATGGTCAAGATTTAGCGATAGTATCGATTTGCATGTTATATCCCATCGTAATAGACAGAATTAATCATTTGATCCGTTTATCAATATCATTTTTACCCCATGATTGTAAAGAAATAATTTTTCTTGATTACTTTAGATATTCTGATCAGCATACAGAAGTATTCCTATTGCCTGTTATACACGCAAAGACCTTGGTCATGCTCTTGATTCTGATTGGCTCGTTCGTTGAGACTATAATTTATGGACGAACCAATCAGATTTACGATAACAAGTCTTAGATTTTGGCTCGAAATTCAATCATCCATTTGGCTAGTCTTAGCATTATAACTGATGTTAATTCGTGATGAAAACCCTAAATCTAATTCCTAACCCTAACCATCAACTGTGAATTATAATCCCTATTCTTCAAACTTCTTTATAACCCTCATTTAGCCCTAGTAAGTAGGTAGACACTCCCAAGGTCGCTTTAGCATCTGTCAAAGTTCGTCCATAAGTTATAGTCTCATGGCATATTCATATATCATACTTTTACTATACCTTCCATAATCTTTTGTTTTAATGACTGTCTGTTTTGTTTCTTTTTTGAGGTTGTAACCGTATTCAGTGCAGCAAATTATTGTGGTGAATTTGATAATGCTGGTGCAGTTATGCAAATTAATGAAGATTCAGTCTGTTCATTTGTGATTTTAAAAGTTAGTACCATTATAACTACTATTACTAGTTAAATTTAAATAATCCAATATCATTTTGATTAATCTGTAAGTTGGTTTCAGTGTTAGATGCAGATATAATGATATCTGATAGTCACACTTCATCAGGTTCGTAAACATGTACGTACCTATCTACTTCCGAAAATAGTGATATCTGTTGAATTGAAGTTGACATTCGATCGACTTGGTTGACATGTTTTACGACAATGTTGGTCGCTGAAAGGTGTCGCAAAATGTATATAAACGGTTTAAAGGCCTTATACTTGAGTACAACTAGTTAAGTAAGAGCTGATATCATATATAATATCATATCACTCTCACACTAAATTCAAAATGCTGCTTGAAGACTCATTTATGTCCACATATAGACTGAATAATCCTATCGAACCCTGAAATAGTATCAGTTAACAAAGTTATTAGTTGTTGGTTTGAGTTCAGTAGATGAATGTCAACCTACTTGTCAAAGCTTACTTATTAATTGTAGTTAATAGCTGAAAACGTTGGGCGTGGCAAAGCTTTCTATTGATTGAAAGATAAATTACGGCAAAATGTCATCTGAAGGAGCTATGTCAAACCGAATCTGTCAGAATTGTTGAGTTACCTCATTTTTAGTTATTATGTCAAAGAAAAGTCTTTTTTTTCATTTAACTAACAGGGATGTGTGTCTTACCTAAACAATTTTTTATTGACTTGAAGTAGTAAAATAGCTTAGGTCTGTTGAGTCACAACTCTGATAAGATTTAGACCCTTTTCAACAAATTGAGTGAAAGAATGCTTGAAATTAGTTTTTGCGAACCGATCTCAAATACAAAATGTTGTCTACGTCAACCAAAAGAAACTGAATTAGTTATATACATTGATTACTTTATTTATCTTTAATGGTTCATTAACTCTTGTGGGTTGGTAGCCGATGAAGCCTGTACATTAATACAGGGCACTTACTTTGTGTTTGTGAAACTGCAGCACCTACGATGCAGAAACTTATTCGTCTGCCTACAACATAGCGAATGAAATTCTAATTAAATAACATTTTAACTGTACAGTATTGTCTGCCAATATAAAGGATGTGATCACAATTACTTCTCGAGTATTTTTTAGATAACCCATAGAATACTTTGTAGAGATACCAAACTGACTGATATATCTATGAATCTGAAAAGACTTAAGTGGTTAGAGGAAGTTCTTTTAGTTACAAAAGTGGTTTTAGTTACTCTTATCACTGCCAGTTTCAATGACGTTGACTATCAACAAATCGATGTACATCACGGAAGGATCTAAGACGAATGACTATTGAAAACCATGAAGCACTGATCAGTTATCTCATCCTAGACTGAGACTGTTCCAAAGTATATGTCCACCATATCAGCTAGGATCAGACCTAGGATCTTTCAGTTCTTCTGGCCAGAGCTAAGCATTTGAACAACTGAGTTGCGACCTAATAGCCTACATTTCTAACTTCATTCAATTCGTGATGTTGTGAAGTTATATTCTAAGATATTTGGTGGGCAACGGCCTTGTTTTCATAAAAGGAGAACCACGTTGGTTATATCTTCCCATTAGAATTCCAGGGTTTACCATTCTAATTTACCCACCACAGAACACATATTTATTATGAGAACAGAGGTTTATTAGAACTTTTAGTTCGCATCACTTGTTGACTATAGGTTGCACTCACCATGAGACATGGAAGGTTTTGGATCCGATCACAGATGTGTTCATGGATGAGTACCGTTTTGGATTTTCATACTGAGAAGGAACAGCTAAATAGTGTTTAGCAGTTTTCAGTAGTTATCTAATGAAGGTCATCAGTGATGCAAACTGAATATTTCAGTAACTCTCTATACAAATAACTAATCGATTGTTTGATAGGCTTAGAAATTCAACAGGAGTTTGATAATTTATCTAAAAACATTGAGGAGGAGATACTCACTTACACACACACACACACTCTCCGTCGCTTAAGTTAGATTACCGATGACGGGAATTTTAAATGTTTCTTTAATTTAATGAAACAGCTCCACAATTTTATTAAGTCATCTTCATATAATCAAACCTTAAACAATATTTAAATAATATTAACTTTAGCCATATATAACTAAAAAGAAATCCACCTTGGAAGAATCGGAATCTACCGGAGACCTTGAAAAGAAAGAAGACTCCAAGGTAAAAGAGCAAGAGGAGATGACAGAATCAGTAACCAACATACAGAAATCAAAGTAAACAATAGTCACTAATCGAATAAAATGTATAACGATTGGAAATATCGAATGGGTGAATAATAGGTATGTATGTGCTTTTGGCCATGTGCAAATGTGAGAGACTTATGTACAATTATTTCTAACAAATATAACCAGTTGTTTACTAGTCAATAACTACTGTGTTTTTTTTTAAATAATAAAAGCTGTTCATAACTATCAAACTTGAGTTCGTATTGTTTTAATACGCATAGAAGCTGATATGTTTTATTCATGTATCATATATATGATCCCTTTGGTAATTTACCTTCAAACGATTATTTATTGTCAGAAAGGGGTTCTTGTGGATATTGTAGTATTTTAATAGTTGAGTTCATGAGTCAATTGAAGCCAGACCATCATAGAAAACCTGGAAGCACTGAACGGCCGTTTCGTCTTGGTATGAGACTTCTCAGTGGTAGTGCACATCCATGATCCCGCCCTGCGGGATTCGAACCCATTGTTTATTGATCAATGAATGGTGAGTGCTACTCAGCTACAAGTTACTCGAAGCCTGATTAGTTACTAATATAACAAAAACTTCTAATTATCAGTTTAAGTCTGCTTTCGTTATCAAAGATCAATCAAGCTCTATTCGTTTCTCACACTAAGTGACGTATACCTTTGTAGGTGTTTTAAATACTGAATTATGTTGTGATTTATCAGGTGGGAATCCAATTACTTATAATTTTTTGTGAGCACTTAAAATTCTTATTTATCACTAGTTGTGAAGTAACTATTCCTGGTGCATTATGACGAAACATTACACGACTGTATGATTGTTGTGAGCTGCGTCTCGATTTAGTCTTGGTACACACTTCATGATAATTGCTCAATCAATTTTATGGAGTTAGGAAATCCATATGCAAATTAATGATATACATGTTTGTATGATAATTGGCACAGATCATTCTTGTTTCGTAATAACCTAAGCATTTAAAGTTGTACAATGTTGGGCGGATTAGTTGGAGAGAATAAGAATCAAAGGCAGAGAATCATGAGGTGTTGAAATGAAATTGTACTGGGATTTTGTCATAGTAAAATATTTCTCATAGACAGTTAACATTTCTACTGATGCTAGAGTTTTAGTTATTTCCTTCTTTTATTAAAATCGATACAGCTATTTCAAGGGTTCAATATTTAGCTTGATAATTTTCTACTGCTTGACTAATATGAACTTTACAGCTTGTGTTGTTACACATATTTACCCATTACTATTCTGAAAGTCATCAAGTATTTCTCTAGAAAGTTGCCAGATAATCACAAAAAGCTGAAACTATTTCATCCAGTGTAATACCAAATAAAAAATGGAAGATTTTGAGTCATAGTTTAATTGAACAATTACTTAGTTAGTTGCTAAATATGGTATATCTCCAGAAGCTTCCTCCTTGTAAAAACAACCATTTGTCAATCTACAAACAAACTTGATTTCTATACACAAATCAACCACGAATTAAAGTTTCTATTCTTACTTTAAAATGTTTCTCTATTGTTCGAGCTCAAAATTTCGAGTAATCTAGAAATACTAGGTTTGAAGCTATCACGAGTTCACTTAATCTGTGAACGAGAACAAGACTTGGTGACCAATGACCAGTAAGCTAGCTATTGATGCGTCTCAGCCCCGCTAACTAGAGGGAGAAGTCCAAGCTTAAAATGGGAAAGTATATTTTGCAAACAGCCAGAAACGAGCGATAACAACAAACACAATTCAAAACGTATATATACAGTACAAAACCGTCCCTGGGGAGAGTTACCAAATAACATACCAAAAGACTCAACGGACCAATAGCATTTTAGATAATTCCCAGTAGGAAATACGACATGAAAGTGACAAGAGAGCTTTGGCTCGAAAACAAAGAAATTCAGATTTTCAGAATAAAATTACAAAATTAGGTCCTTTTCCAAGTGAGTTCTGGGGATCTAACGTCCTCAACAGGAATCAGCTAGAAGGTCAATAGCAAATGTTCAAACAGGAGACATAAAACTGTAACAATTAATTACCTAATTATTTTAAGACATTTGAAAAAACTTATTTATATATAAAAAAATCTTTTAAATATTCAGTATTTCCGAACAAACAATATTTTATTTATTTAATCGTTGAATTCATGAGTCAATTAAAGCTAGATTACTATGGGAAACGTGGAATCATTGGACGGCCGTTTTGTCCTACTATGGGACTCCTCAGCAGTGTAAATCCACGATCCTACACACTGGACTCGACCCTAGGACCAATCGGTTTCGCGCGCAAGCGCATAACCTGTAGACCGTTGAGTCGACATCTAGCGGATGGGTCCTGGGTTCGAATCTCACGAGGTGGGATCGTGGATACCCATAGCCACTGAGGAGACCCATACTGGGACAAAACAACTGTCCAGTGCTTTCATGTTTTCTATGGTAGCTTAGTTTTCATTGACCAATCAATTTAACTATTAAACTACTAAAATCTCCACTACAAACCCTCTTCTGATAATATTTTATTTCTTTTAATAAAAATATAGAGCAAATAATTTTACACACATGAATTACATAATGAATGATTATCATTTCCTGTTATGTAACCATAAACAAATAACAGATTTCATCTTTATTATTAAAGAAAACACAAAAAACATACTCTGTAAAAATAAAAATGTCTCGTTTTTTTTTCTCTTGTTTTTTTAAACGGTACAATAAAATATTAAATCGATGATTTGTTTGTTTCTGGTTGCTATGCCTTTGTGTGCGTACGTGTGTGTCAATATGTTGAAGGTAATATAACTGAATGTTGCAAAAAAAACAAACAAACGAAAACAGAACAACAACACAAGGGCTCAATAAGTGTTCAATGCTAAATAAGTTCACTGTATCTAGTTAGCATTGTTAAATATTCCCCCCTCTCTCTCTCCCCTTTAACTCCATAAAACTAATTGAGCAAGCATCATGAATTGTATACTAAGACCAAATCGAAATGTAGCTTAAATGATTAAAATGAAATCTTCGTCAACAACAGCAAATGAAAAGAAAAAAGAAAAGAAAGGGGAATTACACTTTAATATACAACATTCACCTATGTTACTAAACATTGAACATTTATTGATTGCTGAATATGTAACTAATAAAATGAGCCATGTAAATGATGTTTAAGACAAAGTGTCATTTAGAAACTTTAAAAATAAATAATCGATTTCATGTTACGTAAAAATGTGATTGAAAAGAAAGAAGGTTTAAAGTGTATCACATTAGTAACATCTATAGTTTACTTTTTTGTTTTGTATTCAGTAGTATAATAAAGTAATCTATCAAATGATGTAATAGAACTATTCGAGTGTAATATAAGTATACAACTATGATGAAAACTTCCTTCTAAAGTGATCATAATTCAATTTGATTACCAACGAAGGTGTAAAATAGATAATCCATTTACCTTGAAATGAAATTTAAAAGAAAATAATAGAGAATTATTTAACAAAGACAGTAATGATTAGTAGAGCTAGATAATGACTATAATGATAATATTGTCTTATTTGGAACCTGTCAATTACATGTATTGCTGAATTAGTAATCACTCAGTCAGTCAGTGGTCTTGAGTGCTGTTAGAGGTATGCGGGCGGTTACCACTTCCCGGTTGCCCACACCGTGGAAAGGTTCTTCTGGAGGTACCTGAGAAGGAGATTGGATTAGAGGTGGTCTTAGTGATCTGAGAGCGTAACCACAGTGCCCAAGGGACAGCTGCTTGAGGTCGGTCACACACGACGCTGCTGTGAGTAACTTACATGTTAGCTCAGTACTTGTTGAAACCTTACCGCCGGAGACGGATATCCGTGAGATAAAGCGAGGTGTGCATTTTTAGGGTCGACCTTTTCTAACCCCACACCTCCTTGTGGGAAGGCAGCATCGCTGTCATGCTGGTTGTCTGAAGGAAACACCTTACTGCCGTCACACCTCTGTACAGTCAGCAGAACGAAAGAATTTACTAAGCCTTATAGATTTATTTGACTGGCATCTTCTACAGAGTAAAATAATATCATTTTTCGAGTCTCTAATCTTTACTAATCTCATTTTCTAATCATAATCACAAAGATACTATCTTTCAGAAGACAGACATCCTACCGGTGCTGGACTACTGATTCATCTAAATTGGCCATAATGCGAAATCCAGTTAACATTACTTGTACAAGGAATAAGTTATCCGGGAATACGTTTTAAAAATCACAATGAAACCTAGAAACACTAGTTTTATTCTGAGTGGCTCTCTGCAGCTTGGCAGTACAGTATTGTTTTACCAAAATGCTGGTTTGTACAAGACTTATATGTATTCATATAGGGCTGAACATTTGTTTGACGATTAAAAATGTTATTGGAATACGGATAATTGTTTTTTAATTATCGGATTGATAGAATATATATATGTCGATTCTAATGTTCACTAGCTGAAAACAATCAAGAGAAAAACTTGGATCGAAATATTGTTTTACTCAGTTCTTATCAGTAACGCGTATCTATAGTTCTGAAAAAGACAACAGGTTCCGGACATTCACCATACATCTTTACAGTACGAGATATTATTACAAAGAGCTATTTGAGGCAGGTAGTTTTTTGAGGAGGCCACACCTGAAGCCTTTGATCTAAATGTCTAATCCACAAGACAGTGGAGCAACGTCAAGAGATTCAGTCCCATGGTAGTCGGTGACCAATAATTGGTCCATATGCCACTTATTTTCTTAAGATCCTGGAGCCCATCTGCACCATTCGTTAAGAGTCAGGGTTTTCCAACTCCCTTAGATGGGTCCTCCGTATCCACCAACCTGGTTAAAACGCCGGACATTCGCATTTCATTCTCTCAATTTCGTAAACAACATCCGTGGTGCGAGAAGGCAATGAGTAGAACTTTCGTGGCGGTGTATACGAGTAGCCATTTGAAAGCATTTTGAAAGCGACAGAGAGTTGACTCTCCCCACCCTCTATCGTGACACGGCATCCCATATTTTGATTGAGAAATCTTATGAATAAATCAATTATTCAGTCTGAACCCCTGAGTAAATTTATCGCTGTTTTACTGAAAAATATTTATGTAAGGTTTATGAAGGATTTATATTCAACATACCAACTTACCAATTAAATAACTATGAGATATCACTCATGTTGTAGATCAACCGTACTAGTCATGTCGTCTAAACCAGCTTGAATAATATCATCCAATCGATCACCTCTGTCTTGTGGACTAGTCTAAAATTGATATTAATAATAATATCCCCATTCAGATAACAAAAAATAGTAACTGTCTTATAAATTTTTATTAACCGTTCGATCACCGCATAACTGACTCTTTACTTTGATCTTTTCAAAACATTAATGACACTGTATTATTCTATTCTCACAATTTCTTAAAATTCTTCAAGTTGGCAATTTTCTTTCATCCATAACATATTTAAGCTTTGGTCTATTATATAAATTTTTGACACTTGAAAACACTTTACATCGCTATTTCATTACACGAAGAGGTTTGTGGAGGTCATCGAATTTTATAGTTTAACTTATAATCTAATCTTAGCGTAACCGTTGTTAGGATCCAAGAAACACTGGAGAGCTGATTCTTAGTACGGAACTGCTCAGCAGTATTCATTCACAAGCTCACAAGGGATCGAATCCAGGACTGACAAAACGGTGTGTGAACGCGATACCTCTTGACCTCTGAGCCGCTTATAGTGGTGTACATACTCCATACTAATAATAACTATGTGCTTAGTAGTGTTGGTGTTCTGGACTCAACTGGATAGGCTAAGTGAGTAAAGGACGCTAGGCTGATCAGACCGATCGAAAGTCGTTGGTTTAGTACAGCACAAGAGTGAACAAGGCGTATTTCGATTGGTGAATAAAATTACGTTATAAATAGCCGGACTTAAAGTCACAGCATTAAGTACTCTTGATATTTAAAATCAAAGACCTAACACCATCAGTATTTATCCATATGGTTACAATTCTTATTTATGTAAGCTTAACCTTTAAACTTAACTCGAACTCTAAAACCTAACATTTAACTCGGACTCAAAATCTCAAATCTTAACACCAAACTTCCAGTTTATATACAATACATTTTATATTTAAGTTACTTATATCCTAACTAGTTAAAAGCTGACCACACTTTCTAAAAGTCACTTTAAATTAGCTCAGTTATCACTAGCGGAGTGTGTACTTTCACCATTTAAACAAATAAGTATGCCTGTAAAAATTAAACGGGCAAACTTGGTATTTAATTTTATAATAATAGTAATATTATTAATATTTTAATAGTTGAATTCATGAGTTAATTGAAGCTAGACCAACATGGAAAACTTGGATGCACTGGATAGCCCACAGTAGGACGAAACGACCATCCACAGCATCCAGGTTTTCCATGGTGGTCTAGCTTCAATTGACTCATGATTACTATAATATCCACAAAACACTTTCTTACTGAAATAATAGTTTGTAAAAATTGTGTCATTGTTTCACGGCGTATAACTTTGATCTTTTCCAATGTTGCTAAAGATTTTAACACATCTTCAATATGTCCAATAACTTGACCCATACCATTTTCAATACGATTAACACGATTGTATAATTGCATAAATTCAACTTGTTTTATATCAATTTTAATTTGTGTAGTCGGTGCTATTTTTGACTGACTTGTTCCAGGTTGTTTCGCGTCTAAATTTAAGCGTTCTTCTTTAGCTAATTCACTGACTAAAGCAATCTATACCCATGGTGTGTATTGAGGAGGGGGAATAGAAAAAGAAAAAGCATATAAAATAGAATCAAAAATGAGAGAGAGAGTAGAAAAAACAGGTTGATTTTAATGGTTTATATCGCTGACCAATAATCGAAGTAAACTGTGATCTTTTTTTATGCCTACAGTTTGACTTCATAGTGATCGAATGATATTGATGTTAATGAAATTGTTATATCCTAGTGAAGATTACATTACGAGTAACGTCTGAGACTTATTAATGGACTATTATTATTTATATATTCTCATGATATAAATATTCGGTGACTGGATTATGTATATCTATATTCCCCTTGTTAAAAGCTTTATTTCGACCTATAATTTATTATTGTACCATTTACGGTTCATAAGCTATGTTCAATTTACTAACTACTGCCTCCCACTTTCACAGCCACTTTTTGGCTCTATTGTATACAAATGTTATTTCCCATTTTATGATGCGTTGCAGTCTGTTTGATTGATATATAAACCCAGTATGTCTGAAATAAATGATTCGATTCGCATAGTGGAAGCTGGTATTGGTGTTCTGGACTCAAGTGGACGGGCTAGGCGGACATAGGACCAATAAGGACGCTAGGCTGCTTATATCGGTCGAACGTCATTGGTTTTGGACAGTGCTAAGATTGTATAAGTTGTATTTTGATTGGTGGATAAATCACATGATAAAAAGCTGGACATAAAGTCATAACAGAACTATAGTCCTAGTTACTTTTTACATATTCTGTCCACGTATTCCGTTAATAATAACGATGTAATCAAACTTCAGAAAGAGTTGAAATAATGAATGATGCAATAAAAAGGTTGTAATGTTATCAGGGTAAAGAAAGATTTATTACTGCTTCTTTTTGGACATAGACCGGGTTTTAAAAAGTTTGATCGCTATCGCTTCGACAAATTTCTTATGATTAGAGTTTGATTATATATTAATCACCATGAATGACTTCAGTGTATCAACTTGATGTCAAGAAGATTTCTCGAAATGGCACTTCTGATTGCTTTTAATATGGAATATGTTCTTTGAATCGGATCTAGTCTCTCCTTTCAACTCTTTCTGAATTTTGATTACATCATTGTCATTTTTCTTCAATTCATAATTGAATGATTTCAATCCATTCCTTTCTTTACTACCATTAATCTGTTTTCATTTGATTCATTACATAATCACATAATGTCTGTTAACTCTATGAATTCTAATCAGTCTTTGAATGTTCTAGAACATTCCCTCCAAAACTTTATGTATCCGGAAGAAAATTTTTAGGACCTCATTAACTCTGTCGGGATCTTCGCCACATCATGATACACATATTCATCTCTAATCACATTCGTATTTATGAGTATGTCAATATCTGTAATAACGTTGAGTTTGAAATATTATACAGGTTATAAGCAGCTGATGAGAACCTAACGAAATATAATGAATTCACATTGTTCTGCACCAATCGTCATTCTTGCTCTTTTTAAGATAATAAAGGGAATTGTGTGTATCAGATGTATTCAATTGTAGGTGGTATTGTTATATTGGAACGAAGAATAAATGAATGGTAACTGGTAGAGATTAGTTACTAACTATTATTACATATATTCTTATTAGATAATTATTAAGTAACTAGATTATACATATATATACCCATATTCCTTTTATCATAAGCTTTCATTTGGCCTATTGACTACTGCAATACGATTTACCATTCTAAATTTATTCCCAATCTATTGGTTACAATCTCTTGTACTCATAACCACTTTACGCTTGGTCCTGTATAATAATTCTTTTGCATTTTATGGTGTGATGTGATCTAATCTGTTTATATATAAATCGTTTATGTATGAAAAATACGATTCATGCAATAGAGGCCGATATTTGTGTTTTGGACTGAATCAGCTGGGTTAAGCTGGCGGCTATTATCTCAAAGGACCAATAAAGACTCAGAGTTGACTCAAGACTGTTTGTGCTGGTTGACGCATCATTAGTTTAACAGACAGATAATAGAAGTCTGTATTCTGATTGGCAATCTGTCACTTAATGTTAATGGGTGCATGGGACATAACAGTTAATTCATATAAATCCAACTTGAAACAATCAAATTAAAGGACTTTTGAAAGCCAAAACAAGATGCTTGACTATTAGTATTATTATAAAACGTCTAATGTACAAACCTTTTGTTCTTCTAGTGAAGCTTTTAATTTCAACTGTTCCGTATGTGATAAAATGTTATCTTTATTTTCATCGAAATTTTCAAATACCATTTTTATTTCTTCATCAGTAAAACCTTTGCTAATAAATTATAAACAAGAAAGAGAAAGGGGTTTTGTGAAGAATGTAGTAATTTCAATAGTTGAATTGGTGAGTCGATTTAAGCTAGACCACCGTTGACAACCTGGAAGCACTGGACGGCCGTCTCGTCCTAGCATGGGACTCTTCAGCAACGCGCACCTACGACTCTGCTCGCAGGATCGGAGCCCAGGACCTTCGATGTCATGCTCAAACGATTAACCTCTAGACCATTGAGTTGGCGTCCAACGCTCTTAATATCTAACTACAACCAATCTACGAAATTCAGCTATCGTCCACCATTGTCTTCAATGAGTTACTGCCTTACATTAGACCCGGTTGAACTCTACTAGTCACGGATTCTCAATGAAACTCCATGAAATACCTTGAAGCTATCCAGTTCTTCCAGGTTTCTCAAGGTTGTCTAGCTTTAATCGACTCATGAATTCTACATTTTAAGAAGCCCTAATAATTAGTGTATATGTATTTTGCATATATTATATTATGTTCTATGACATAGACAGATACACATGAGACGATTGTTAATAACTCCAGATACTTGAAATGAAATCTTTAGTGGAAATTACAGTATTTAGCGGCCATTCATCAGATGAATGGAGAAATAATCCACAAACCTGGATGTAACACCTATTGAACAGTAAAAAAGCTGAATTTGTAACTTTGATTTTTACTCATTTTGTGATTATAATCAATGAGACAAAATGATTTGACAAGATAACATTAAGAAATATGACTTCAACTAGTAGATAATATAAGTGATAATACAAAGGGTAACATTGTAAGTAGTACCTCTCTGTTTATATCAAGATATATTGAACAGTTTAAAGACCAATACCTACATAAGAATCTGCTACTTTTGATGGATTGCAAATAATATGATTTGGTCCAACTTACATTCGGATAAGTAAAGATTTCAACTGTTTTTCGATTCACACTAAGTCATTCCTATTTTATGTTGATATGTATCGTGACAGACACATTGTTGTGATAAACAACAAGGATTACACAACTAATCATGATACATATGAAATGTTATGATGATAGGCATTGAAGTATATAAACTAACAATAAACAGCATGACGTTGCGAACAAATACGAAGATCGAAGAAAGAGGATTGATTAAAGGAATTGCCATTTAAATTACGTAATACGAATTATCTATGCTAAATCAGGGTGAATTGCAATTGAAGAATATCTGGAACTCAAAACAACTCTCAACCAACATCAAGGTCAGGATTTTCAATACAAATGTTAAGGAAGTTCTACTGTATGAGGCAGAAACCTGGAGAACTACGAAAGCAATCATCCGGAAGATACAAGTGTTTATTAACAGTTGTCTACGCAAAATACTTTGGATTCGTTGACCAGACACTATTAGCAACAACCTACTGTGGGAGAGAACAAACCAGATCCCAGCGGAGGAAGAAATCAGGAAGAAACTCTGGAAGTGGATAGGACACACATTGAGGAAAGCACCCAACTGCGTCACAAGGAAAGCCCTTACTTGGAACCTTCAAGGTGAAAGGAGGAGAGGAAGACCAAAGAACACATTACGCCGAGAAATGGAGACAGACATGAGAAGAATGAACAAGAATTGGATGGAACTAGAAAAGAAGTCTCAGTAGAGAGTGGGCTGGAGAATGCTCCTCGGCGGCCTATGCTCCATTAGGAGTAACAGGCGTAGTAAGTAATCAGAGGGAATATATTATTAATCAGGAAAAGATACGAAAGGGGCGAAAATAATCTGATATATAAAAGATGTAAAAAAAACCCATTTTGAACCGTTTATTAATCTTATCCAACGAAGTAAAAGATAAATGTGTTATGAATTTATTTTGAGTACATATAATAGGATCGTTACCTTATAACTCTATAGATTCTACAATATGCAAGAGATGAGGTAGAACATGATGAATAGTTCTAGAATTTAAGCATTTGCACGCAACAATAAATGACCATTCAGTATTTCATGATTTTCAATAATGTTTAGACTAAGATCAATCTGTGATGTTAACTTTGAAAATATAAAAATCTCCACAAAGACCATTCTACTGATTATTGATCTCAATATTTTTTTTTGGATTTTTCATTGATTGACCTATACTCTGATAAGTTTTCTAATTGAACGCTATATTCGGTTCCTAGGCATTTCTATTAACTCCCAGACTAAATCTACACAGCGACTTCAGAGAAAAGGTGCTAAACATGGAAGAAACACTTTACTCCAAAAGTTCGTATACGTATAGGAAATCTAGGGTTTTTATAGTGTTTTAGATGGCCTTGAGTTTCCGGAAAATCCTGAAGCGCTACTAAACATAGTAGTATTATATATAATTATCTAATCAGAAACTCGACATTTGATTTTTCACTTCCTAGATGTTCCTGACAAAAAGTCTAGTGAATGCTTCTAAATGTTTTCAGAGTTTTCTAGATCTCTCCAACATATTCTATATCCGTATATTCATTCATTTTATCATGGTATTCATCAGTTGTCCTCTTAATAACGATTGGTCCGTTTTAAATGGTTATCATTAACTTATAAATTACCTTGATCTGTTTAATGTTTTTTTCCATATATGAATATAAATATTACTGCTCGTATTGATATAAAACCTGATAAAACCAAATTGAAAGACAGTCCTTTGGTTCGAATCACGCGGGGTGAGATCGTGAATGTTCACTGCCACTCGAGAGCCTCACAATAGGACGAAACGGCCATCCAGTACTTCCAGGTTTTTCATGATGATCTAGCTTCAATTAACTCATGATCTCAACTATTACATTACAACAGTTGAAATTATGAATCAATTGAAACTTAGCCACCATGAAAAACCTGGAAGCACTGGACGGCTGTTTTGTCCCAGTATGGAACTCCTCAACAACAATGAACACTCACGATCCTACCCCCTGCGAGATTTGAACCCCGGACCTACCAGTCTCGCGTGCGAGCGCTTAACCATTAGATCATTGAGCCGGTATCCAACGGTTTTAATGTCTAACTTCAACTAATCCACGAAATCGCACCACCGTACTGCCTCATAACAGACCCGGTTGAACTCCACTGGTCACTACTTCTCACTAAAACTCCAGAAAATACCTTTTGAAGTCAGTCACTAGTGAGGAGATGACTACTATCAGATACACATATAAAGACAATAATATCTTATGTTTTTGTTTTAATAAATGTAACTTACGTTTTCAAATGTTTCCACAATTCAGTATATTCTAATTTACCATCTTTATTAAAATCAGCCAATTCCATTGCATTTTGTATATTTTCAATTCGTTTCTTTTTAATTTTTAATTTTTCTAGCATATTTCTCATTCTCTATGTGTTATAACATATTTTTGTTTGTTTGTTTTTCATTCGATGAAAAAGAAAAAGAAGGGAACAAATGTGAAGGATGACAATTTGATACATGGATAATCGATACAGCTTAGTAACAGACTACAGTTGTAATTTATACTTGATTATATAAATCAGTCCCCAACTGCCTTGATACGGCCGATAGTGGGGAGAGTCAGCTTTCTCTCTCTTACTCGAAATGCTTTCACATGGTCACGTGCATACAACCACTGCCAAGGTAGTCCTACTCACTGCCTTCTTGTGGGATTACTGTTGTTTACGAAATTGAGAAGACGAATAGCGAATGTCTGGTTCTTTAACCAGGTTGGTGGGTACGGTTTGTCCAGTTAAAGGAGTTGGAAAATCATGATTCCAAACCAATGGTGCATATGGGCTTCAGGGTCTTGTTGGCACAAACGGCGTATGGTCACCGGCAACCGTGGGAGTGCATCTCCTTACGTTGCTCCACTGCCTTGTGAATCGGACCATTATGTTAAAGGCCCAGGAAGCGGCCCCTTAAGAAAACTACCTGCTTCAGTTTGGACACCAGGGTAGTATCACAGTCTTCACACAAATTGAATGATTTATGTGGCTCATATATATTTGGCGCCTCTTTGTACCAATGTTTATGTGTTTAAATAAATAAATAAAATATAAAACAATTGGTGTGCATTGAACCCTAATGACAGCAAACATTATCAAGACTTAAATTTTTAGTCAGTTGTAGATTTAATAAGAATCAAAGAGTATAGAATATGTGATTAGTTTTTAGCAGCATAAGATTGTTGAGATTATTAAGTTCAGATTAAAATAAGGAATGAATCCATGTTAGACCATCATTGAAAACCTAGAAGTATTGGACAGCCGTTTCATCATGATTTCGGACTTCTCAGTGGCAGTGCGCATCCACGATCCTGTACCAATTGAATTCAAACCCAAGACCTTCGATTTCGCGGGTGAACACTAACCCCTAGACCACTGAACCGACCAATATCCAACAGTGTTAATGTCTAACTTAGTTTAAAGATTATTGAACAGTGTGTACGTGATTGAATCTTGAACCTTTAATCTTTACTAATATTTCATATAATGAATAATATCATCAAACTGGTGAAGGAGATGATAAGTTGAACCATGATTAATGTGACTAACAAAATGTTTATTGTTAGATTTAAAATTTGTTCCTACTAGAGATATTGATTCATAATATTACATGATTTACATAATCCCATTAAATAGTTGATTATAAGTGTTTAGATCACGAGTCAGTTGAAGCTAGACCACCATAAAAAACCTGGAAGCGATGGACGGCCGTTTTATTCTAGTATGAAACTCCTCAGTAGTGCACATCCATGATCCCGCCTAACAAAATTCGAACGCGCGCGTACGCTTAACCTGTAAACCATTGAGCTGGCATTCAACGGTGTTAATGTCTAGCTTCAACCAATCCATTAAATTACCCCACCATCCACCATTGTCATTAGTAAGTTACTATCTCACAACAGACTTGGTTGAACTCCACTGATCACAGTTTCTCACAAGAACTCAACGAATCAACTCTTGGAGGCACTCACTAGTGAAAACATGATAATTACAATCAAATAAGAGTTTTATAAGATTGATAGGTCCTGGGCTCAAATGTTGTAGGGCGGGATCGTGGATGCGCATTGCTAGGATGAAACAACCGTCCAGTATTTACAGGTTTTCTACGGTGGTCTAATTTCAATTAACTCATGAATTCAATTCATCATATTTCATCTTAAATTATAGAACAATATTTACTTACATCTTTAAGAAAATCTTTCATTTCAAATTCATTTGGTTGTTTTTCTAAATCTGATTTAACTGATGAATAAGTTTCATTGATAATTGCAATAAACATATTAATAAGTACAAAAAATACAAAGAATACATAAACAATAAAATAAATTGGACCAAACACTCGATTTGCTGTTTCCAATGCATTAAAATCAAAATCACCCAATATAATACGAAATAGGGTATAACTAAAAAACAAAAGAAAACAAAACAAAAAAAGCAAATAAAACATGAAAAAATGAATTAAAACAGCTGAGATTCTGAGTCAATTGAAGCTAGACCACCATGGAAAACCTGGAAGTACTGGACGGCCATTTCGTCCTATTGTGGGACTCCTCAGCAATGCGCATCCACGACCATTTACAAAACCCCTTCTGATACTAATCAACATATGCTCACTAGTGACTGGCTTCAAGAGATATATCCCGGAGTTCTAGTGAGAAGCAGTGACCAGTGGTGTTCAACCGGATCAGTTGTGAGGTAGCAACTCACTGATGACAGTGATGGATGTGTCGGTCAATTTCGTGGGTTTGTTGAAGTTAGATATTAATGCCGTTGGATGCCGGCTCAGTGGTCTAGTTGGTTAAGGTCCTAGCGCAAGACTTATAGGTTCTGGGTTCGGATCCCGCGGGGTGCGGGTTCGTGGATACGCACTGCTGAGGAGTCCCATACTAGGACGAGACGGCCGTCCAGTGCTCCCAGGTTTCCCATGGTGGTCCAGCTTCAACTGACTCATGATCTCAACTATTGAAAGTACTACAATCTCCACAAAAACCCTTCTGATACTAATGAATTAAAACTAAGTTGATTCAATATTTAAAAGTTAAACAATAGAAAACAGATAAAAACATTGTTGCTTAGATAGATAGATAGATTGATTGGGTAACACTGAATTCATTTGGATGTATTCTGGGAATGTACTATGGCGATGACCTTGAATGGCTCGTCGGCCAATTAGAAAGTAGGGTTTAGTTATAAAACAATAAACAATTAAAGGTATTAAAAATACAATGGATAAATAGTTCTAACATAATTAATGAATGTGAACAAAAAGAGTTTTTTATTACTGTAAACGGGAAACAAGCTATGATTAGAGATCAGAAATGAGAGTAGGGTTGAGTTTTAGAGTTAGTATTAAGAGTAGATGTTAGAGTGGAATAGTACTTTTCATCGATAATAGTGAAGACATACGCAGGTAGTTTTTCGAGTTGAGATCTCTAGGGATTTCACGTTACCTGGAATAATTCACAAATTATATTCGAATATTATGTACCGGAGACTTGGAAAAACCACACAAAAACTCTTGGCTATGTCCGGGATCACATCAAGTACACTGACAGAGTACTTAATCTATTAGCCACATTCTACTCCAGAACCAATTCATTTTTGATTTTGTTTACAAAACATACTAACTTTATTGTGTGGTTTCACAGAAAATCAGTATATCGGTTTCAGACATCTTAAGATTAAGTTCACTTGATGTTGTTTACTTGTATCTTCCCATTTTTATTTAGGACTGCAATTGACCAGTCTCTTATTGGTATATAAGCATCCTCTACAGGCTTCCTCGATGTTGCCTTAATTCCCAAGTATTATAAGCAAAGGTGGATGGTAGCTAGCAGTGGAATCCAGGACTCGCGTTTCGTCCTATTTGGGATCTGTCAGCTGAATGTACCTGCATCTCAGAGTCCATGTTCACCCTGGGACTCTCATCTATTACCGTTCGCTTCAAAACACTCAGTAGCTAAGTGAATAACGTGATGGCGTTTGAAGCGGACGGTATTGGGTTCGAGTCTCGAAGTGAACATCAACTCTGGCTTGCAGGTACATCTAGCTGACGAGTCCAAAATAGGATGAGACGCGCGTCCTGGGTTCCACTGCTAGCCATTATCCATCTTTGCTCTTAAAAGTAAGATCTGTAAAATTTTTGTACTGAACTCCTAGTAAGATTGAAGCTATCTATCACTGTTTATTGAATTTTGTTCACCTAAGAAAATTATGATTGAATATATTGAGAAACTTCCATTATTCTCTTGATGGTCTGAAAAGTATGTTTATAAATTCATTTCATGACAATTTTAGTCTTAAGCTTATACTAATTGAGCATTATTTAAAGAAATTAGCGAATATTAGTACGTAGTCAACCAAATTAGCGGTGAGACAATACCTAACCAAATATATGCAATGAAGAATGTATTATATTTAAAACTTTAGACTATTGAATCTTGACTTCTTGGTATAAAGGTATCGCGCTTTATACAATATCTAGACGTCATAGTTTCAAGCCATTTTATACCAAGTCACTAACAAAGATAAGGTTACTAATAGATGCTTTCTAGTTTTCGTTAACACTTTTTGATTGATATAATCAATTGCCCTGGTACGGACGAGGGTGGGTAGAGTCATCTCTCCCTCTCGAAATGCTCTCACATGGCCACGCGTATACAACCACCGCCATGGAAGTCCTACTCGCCACGGTTGTTGTTTAAGAAATTGAGAGAATGAAATGCGAATGTCCGGCGTTTTAACCAGGTTGGTGGATATGGAGGACCCATCTAAGGGAGTTGGAAAACCCTGATTCCTAACGAATGGTGCAGATGGGCTCCAGGATCTTAACAAAATAAATCCCATACACCTAGATAAGGTCCCAATTGGTCTCAATATGGTTTGGCAGGACGGTTCGCCATTTCAGTCTTCCTAAACATCTTTTCATCTCATTCTCGCTGTTAGTTGAACAGGTATATGGGAAACGTTTGTATCCATATGTAAAATGGGTGAAGAGAGAGAACTTATAACAAAAATGAAAAGTTAGAACACCATTAAAAACTTGAAAGCACTGGACGTCCGTCCCCTTCTAGCATGAAACTACTCAGGAATGTGCATTCATGACCCCGCACGTAGGAACTAAACACAAAGTCTTCATTCTTGCGCTCAAACACTTAAACTCTGGACCACTGGGCCGGCGTCCAGTTGTGTTAATCTCTTAGCCCAATCGATTCATTAAATCAACATCGTTAAATGCTGGTTCAGCCATCCAGAGTTTAGGTGTTTGTGCGCGTGACCGAAGGTCTCGAGTTGGATTTTCGCGTGCAGACATCCCATACTAGGATGAAACGACCGACTAGTAGTTTCTGGTTTCCAATAATGATCTGACTTAAATCAGTTCATGATTTCAATAAAATCCAACAACTTCGATAATTCCATACTGAAAAATGACAAGAGTAAAGATGAATGAATTTGTACTTCAATTATAAACTTACACAACTGTAATAAATGAACTGAAATCTTTTGCTTGTGTACCGAATGCTAAATAACCAAGTTGTGCAAATGAAAAGAATACAATAAAGAACATGATAGCGAAACCAGCTAAATCTTTTGCACAACTACCAAGTGTTGAACTTAATTGTGTCATTGTTTTATTGAAACTGATGTATTTAAACAACTATGAAAAGTAGAAAAAAAAGTAGGGTAAAGAGGAGAACACATAGTGATAACGATATAAATATGATTGAAAACAAGGAAAAATTACAAAAGCATCAGACAATTTTTCCGTCTATCAGAAAGATTTTTATGGAGATTTCTAACTTTCATGGTTCAACGATCACTGAAAAACACGAAGCATTGAACAGCCATTTTGTATTGATATAAGACCCGTTGGATATGAGCATCCATGACCTCGTCAAACAACGGATTTATTCTCTCTCATCTAACAGTAAACGCTTAACTTCTAGACTACCAACATGGCATTCATACCAGGACGAAACAGTTGGTCAATGTTTCTTGATTTCCAAATGTCTTTTTTTTACTAAGGTCAGTCAACGATATAAACTATAGAATTCCTATTCGATAGGATATTCTAGATGAATGTTGTGAATTCTCCATTTTCACTTTATGATGTATATGAAGATAAAATGGCGGTCATATTTTTATTCAAGATTTCTATGTGATGGCTAACCAATCTTGTTGAATTGTATAATATCAACATTGAGATGGTAAAGATTTATAACAGAGGTGGATGATTTCAGTGTTACTGATTTCTCTAAAACAAATGATATAATCATAGAGCTCTCATTATCGTTATTATTAGAGCTTATTGCATGCAGTAGTGCATTGTGTAGCTATTCTCCAAGCATTAAATCAATTAGTTGAAATGTCATCGCTTTGGATTGGTTATCTTTGTAGTTTATGTGTCTAGTCTCGTTCGGATATTTGATTTGTGTTCCTGTGAATTGTTAGGTCGAATTTATATCGATATGTTCATTGATTAGGAACTGATTGAATACTATACTACCGAAAATCTTCTGGTATTCTTAAAATTTCTATAATCCTGGTGTATGTCTTAGTCAGTCTATAACGGAATCTATGAAGACAGGCAATCACAAACAAAGCTGTCAGGAAGAAATTAGTTAACGGTTGTGAAATGAAGATAACTCTCACTTCTGTATGAAGTAAGCATTGATGATTTTTTCCAGAATGATAATTAAAGTCTCGTAACTAAAACAACTACCTCAAAGTAATCAGTAACACCAAAAACCATAGGGGATTTCCTAAAAACTTTTTAAAAATCTGTCACTGTAACAGACTGATTAGTCTCGTAACGTTATTGACAATATAATTCCAATGATTCTCTGATGGTTGCTGTTCTCATTGAGTGGCAGTATGAATCGGTAGAACAAGAAGCAGTGTATGGCTAAAATCTTATGTACTTCTATCTAAAATTCTGATGATTGTCGTTTCTACCAGTGAGTTTACTGGTTCGAACATTTTATTGTAGGAGTAATGGTTTGGAAGCTTTTAGTTAATATGGCCTTATAAAACTCACCAACTGTTTATCGTTCCGTGAATATTGTGCCTATTATTATATGTCGGCTCTAATAGAAAACAACTAAAATAACAAATATGGACAGATAGACTTAAATTAGCCATCAATAGGACATTCTGTGCAGCCCAACTTGTCATCATTGAAAAGACAAGGTCTATGTTTCACCAAAAGCCTAAACAGCACGTAAGAGATTGTGTCTATCAATTTACATGTATGTGCAGAAACACGTACATAGGGAGGAGCAATCGTGATTTGCAATTAAAGGTGGGTGAACATCTACCAAAATGGCTGCAGAAACAAATGAATTTCAATGGTTAAATAAGATCACAGGATAGACAGACATCATCCTCCATTGCGAAACATTTGATTGAGACATTTGTAGTGTTATATAAAAGCCTTCAAGAACGTATACTAAGGTTTTATTGAAGCCTTGGCTATACGAAAACTGAAACCCCCTTTATGCGTTCAAAAACAATTTGTCCTTACACTTAACCTACTCTGGTAATACTGATTTATTATCCAGAGTGATAATGACATTGTTTTTGTTATGGCTTACCTTTAACCTGTCTAGTTGACCTTTTAATTTTCATATAAAAATGTCTTAACAAGTACATTATGTGTGGCCAGATTGATTTCGAAATGTATTACGTAAATATATCATCACATAATTATGGTAAACTTCATATTCTCATAGCAACATCTAGAGATATACAACCCTCATGTTGTCCTAGTTAGTAGGTTGACACTCTCAAGATAAACTTTAGCGTCATTCAAAGATCGTCCATAAATTTATAGTCTCACCGTTAATGTAGCAGTTCTTTCAACAACAACAACAACAACAACAACAACAACAACAACAACAACAAAAACTATCCATATGAAAGAGAATTCAATGGAACTCACTTTAACCCAAGCTAGAAATACAGTAATAGAGATAGCAAAATTGAAATTCACTTGCCATATACTTAACATTTGAAAATTAGCAAATTCATTTGGATTATGTAATATACTTTCAAGTAAATTGATTACAATTATTGTACGATAAATATTGAATGCTGCACATACAATACTAATAAGAATAATAATAATATCTAATGAATTCCATACAGATACAAAATAAATCCATCCTTGTTTCTTTATCTATAGGGTATGAAGAAAGAAAAAAGAATTATAAATAGATTAGTAAAAAGGTTATATTTGATGAAAAACAGGAGATACTCCTGGATTTCTAGTGAGAAGTCGTTACCAGTGGTGTTCGACCGGGTCAGTTGTGAGGTAGTAACTCACTGAAGACAATGGTGTACGGTGGCGCAACTTCGTGGATTGGTTGAAGTTAGACATTATTACCGTTGGGTGGCGGCTCAGTGGTCTAGTTGGTTAAGAGCCTGGCGCGAGACTGATAGGTCCTGGGTTCGAATCCCGCGAGGTGCGGGTTCGTGGATACGCACTGCTGAGGAGTCCCATACTAGGACGGAACGGCTGTCCAGTGCTTCCAGGTTTCCCATGGTGGTCTAGCTTCAGTTGATTCGTTATTTCAACAAGTGAAATAAATTATGTGTTTATGTAAAGTATTTACTATAAGTAGTATTGGTAATTACCTCCCAAATGCCTTGGTACAGTCGAGAGTAGGGAGAGTCAACTCTCTCGCACGCGAAATGCTCTCATGTGGTCACGTGCATATAACAATTGCCAGGGAAGTTCTAATCGGTGCATTCTTGTGGTGGTATTGTTGTTGTTTACGAAACTGAAGGACGAATAGCGAATGTTCGATGATTTCACCGGGTTAGTGAATATAATGGATCCATCTAGGGGAGTTGAAAAACTCTGATTCTAAATCAACGGTGCACATGGGCTTCAGGATCCTGTGAGAAAAAATGGCGTATTAAAAAATTATTGGTCACCGGTTACCATGGGACTGCATCTCTTTACGTCGTTCCATGGTCTTGTGGAGTAGACCTTCAGATCAAAGGCTAGGGAGTAGCCTCCTAATGAAACCATCTGCTTCGGTTTGGCTACTCGGGAAGTATCACAGCCCTCGCAAAAATTGAATGAATTATGTGGCTCATGTCTGTTTGGTGCCCCCTTGTACCATTGTTTATGTGTTTAAATAAACGATATAATAACTTAAATATACAGTTATAACAATAGAAAAGTTATCTAGGCAGTGTATTTGACATGTGGTTAGCAATGGGATACATGGTGATCATTTAATTTTAGTTAGGACTTATCATCTGAATGTACTTGGTGTTAATATTTCTCACCAAGATTCGAATTGATTGTCATTAGTTCAGTGGATAATTGATTTAAGGATTTTAAGCAAAAGTTACTGGGTTGAACCGAAATGTAGAACAGTAATACTAAGGTGTAGTAAGAATACCCATTAGACGAGTCTCAAATAAGATAAAATGAATTTCTAGAATTCTTCTGGTGGTCACATACCAAAATACTGAAGCAATCTTTTCAGGAGAGGTATATGGCAACGCAGACTTAGTTATGAATGGAAAGAACGGGATATTACGAATCCCTATCAACATTATAAAAAATAGTTTAGATTACGAAGAGAATTTAACTAGCAGAACATCGAAAACCAGGGAACACTGCTCCATACTTATGACTAATTAGTAATGACCAGCTACTGTGGTGTGTGCTACTGGTGCCGACAGATATAAGTACTACGTATCATGAATCAAAAGTGAAATACCTGGCGGTAGAAGATTAAGAAGATCAGACAAAAGAGAATAAGAACAGAGAATGATTACTGTGGAAGCGAAGAAACAATAAAATCTGAGACGATTAATTGATATTTTACAAATGGAGTATTTACTGTATGTTTCTCAGAGTTTAGCAAGATGTTCTGTAATTTTGTGTTGAAATACATTCGATTGTCTATATTTGTGTTCTCGTTCACAACACTACAACCTCATCAGTGGCTGAATACAAGACCTGTGGAATTAGAGAATAATAAGTTGAACTTAAACCACTACTTGTTCTCGAAGTTTTAATGAGTAGCCGTAAACGATGGATTTCAATCATATTAAGAATGAAACAGTCACATTAATTATATTCAACCTTATCAACAAAATTATGACAGTCTGGAAAGATATCATTTTACCGCATCACTCCAATGTTATTCTAATGACCTTGGATACTATACTAGATAGACAGATACATGTACGTCATCTTTAACTAGAAATCAACAAAAGGATCACCCTACCATACATAAAAGGAATATCAGAAACCGCAACGAGACTGCTGAAAACCTTCGGGATAGGTGTAGCACACAAACCGAAAAATCCACCAAAATCATCCACCTGAGCTACAAGTCTTCTCCACCATCTCTTAGATGAATGATTGTTCAGTTCTTTACTGGCAGTCTGAAAATCATATTCATTATCTGTATCATTCATATCTTGCTTTGTCATTACTCAGTCAAAGAAAACATAATACAGTGATTTGTAATAACTCAAAAGACAATCATACATTACTGAAGATTAGTAACTTACTTCCATAATTTCTTCAACTATATAATAAGCGATAAATAATAAGAATGCACATTCACATACTAATACAAAATAATCAAATGGAGTTACATAACGCAAGAGTTTAACTGATCTAAAATCACTATTGAGGACGAGACTTCCTGATGCAGGAACTTCAACAACAATCCTAAAGTAGAAAACAAAATAGGATAGTAAGCACATGTATGTATGTATTCGTTTATGAATCATTAGTTTGTTAGTATTTTGAGGATTTTAATGATGTATAGAGTTGTTTTCATCATAGCTGGAAATCAATAGGGTATCATTTAAAAAGTATGATGAGGAGAAGTACTCACAACCCTTCGCCGGATAAAATACAATTCCTAAAATTATCTTGCACCCTTTGCCGAGTGAGATGAACGTCTCCGATCAGAAGGTGAGTGTACTATCCGACAGTTTGGTCTATACTATTCTCTATCTGTGGAACATAATCTTTGGAAGTAGAAGACATGTATAAATTGTGCACTTTTGATCATAGATGTTTTTAAAACAATGCTTGTCTATCACGAGACGACCATGCTGGGAATTTTGAGGGTAGTAGGTAAAGATAATAAATTGATTGATGAAGTCGTGAATCTTTATCACTTGGGGTGGTCAGGATATGTTAATTATTCCGAACCATCTCTTTTCTCGATGCGAAATGCTTAATGATGTAGAAGATAGTCTAGGGTCCCTCAAATCAAGACATGGCATCAGTCCATGAAGCTAGTAACTGTTTATCTGAGCTGTGTTGTTAGATCCAAATTGCCTGCTCGGAGTCCGAACGATATCTAGAATCATTGGTTGGAGACTTTGAGTGATATCACTCAGAATCATTCACAATGAAACAGATTCATTCACTCTTTATAATCATTTCGATATTGAATCCTAATATCCCATCAAACATACCTTTATATTGTCTTTTTAAACCATATTGACATGATTTAGTCTTTCTTTTTATCATTATCAGTATATTTTTCCTATCTCTTTGTTACCTATCTTGTTAATTTCATTTAGTCGCGTTAATTACTTTGATAATTTTAGCCAATGCACATCTTTGCTAATCTCTGTGTTAATTATGACTGACTGACTAACCGATTGACTGGATTAAAATCCACTGGTTTACATTTCTAACTTAAATCAATTTACAGTAAAGAACGACAATACTCCAGTACCATTCATAAGGCCCCCAAATGCCCTGGTATGGCCGAGAGTGGGGTGAACCCGCCCTCTTTCTAGAAATGCTCTCACATGGCCACGCTTATACAACCTCTGCCAGGGAAGTCCTACTCACTGCTTTCTCGTGGCGGGGGTGTTGTCTACGGAAATGAGAGGACGAAAAGCGAATGTCCGGCGCTTTAACCAGATCCCAAACCAATGGTGCACATGGGCTCCAGTATCCTGAAGGAACAAATGGCGTATGAACCAACTGTTGGTCACCGGCTACCATGGGACTGCATCTCCTTACGATGCTCCACTGCTTTGCGGGTTAGACCTTTAGGTCAAAGGCTCGGGGTGTGGCCCCCTAAGATAAACATCTGCTTCGGTCTGGGCACCCGGGCAGTATCACAGCCCACACACAAAAATGTGGCGCATATACATTTGATGCCCTCTTGTAATAATATTTATGTGTTCAAATAAATAAATAAATAATAAACCATTCATAAGATACTATTTTACCGTATTATACCGATCACAACTGCTCTAATGAACCTGAAGAAGTCATTTTCAAATAAATCATTAGTGTACATTGAATGATCAACTAGTTAGATCGCTAACATTGATGTATCATACAAGAACTTGATCTAAAACAATCATATCTCTTTTATAAAACATTACAAATGACAGACTGTTTTGTTATATCATCATTGTTAACTTACTCAACAACAGAAAATAAATTCATATTTGGATTATACGTTGTAAAATGTATAAATAGAACTCGAGTTCCTCTATCTAACCATAAATTTTGAAATAATCTATCAAGTTGACTTGCTGCTTCAGTTTGATCACGTGATAAATCTTCATAATAACCTCCACCTCCATAAGAACTAACTGAACCCCAATATGAATACATGCCTAATTGATCAGATGATGTATATGTCCAACTGTAATTGATAAAAATAAATTATGTAAACATTAATTTAGCAGGTAAAACAGCTTTATCACAGTGAATTCAGATGTTTTCATTCATAAAACGTAATCCAATACTGTTACTCGGATTATGATTATCATTACTACTACTGTGGTGCATGGTACTTATATCTGTTGACATAAGTAATATGTGCCAACAATCGGCGGTGGAAAATCTGGTAGTAGAAGGCTAAAAGGGTTTAGTCGAATTAAATAGAAGGGAATCATACAGGATGTGAAGGACAGACGACGGAAATTTGCAAACGAAATATTCATTGTATGGCTCTCATATTTCACCAAGACATTCTGCAATTCAATGCTAAACAGTAAATCGGTTATTGTCGTTCACTACACTACTACTATTACTACTACTCACACTAATACCAATGTTAATATGACGTTGATTTGTAAATAGGTTTCATCGCGGACTGAGTTTTAATAGATAACCATTATAAACATTGAAAAATTATTGAATATATACCGCATCCTGTTATGGAAATGCTCAATAACATACTTGGATAATGTTACTTCCAAGTCTCATAGAAAGCCTTTTACCTATAACACTAATATGACTTAAAGTAAAATGGTCAGTCAATTAACTTGATATTAAGCAATTATTATTCATTGTTATTAGTAATACTTGTATCGTTTCTTAAATCATTGAAGCCAACTGATTACAATTTTCGATTAGAACTGTTGGAAATCTTGATCAATGTTAATCACTAGTAAGCATATAATTCTTTATCTAAATGGGATGAGTTATAGAGATTTTTCAACTTGGATATAGATTAAATCAAAGATAATCTTGAGATTTCTTTATGATTATAATACGACCAATCAGTTTCTTATTGGCATGTGTACATCCTGTACGGATTGCCTCAATGTTGTCTTAATTCACAAGAGTTATAAGCAAAGATGGATAGTGGCTAGTAGTGGAATTCAGGACTCGCGTTTCGTCCTATTCGAGACTCCTCAACTGGATGTACCTGAATGCCAGGGTTGATGTTCACTATGAGACTGATCAATTGCAATCACAAACGTCAATGGAAAGATTTCACGGACTAGCCGCTATCTGGACTCAGTAGTTAATTGAGTAATGCAATGGCGTTTGAAGCGAAAGATAGTAGGTTCGAGTCCCGTAGTGAATATCAACTCTGGGATGTAGGTACATCCTTTGACGAGTCACAAACAAGACGAAACGCGCGTCTTGAATATTTCATGGTACACGAATGTTAAATCCCATATAGTTTCACTCGTTCGACAAGGGAAAATTTCAGTAATACTGTATGAAAATTATATGTTTCTTACATCTTGTTTTTTAGCATTAGTTGGACAATTCTCCTAAAGTAAGTAATATATTTGTAATATCCCAATGAGTAGGAAAATTAGATTTTCTGACGTTTCGTGACTTAGTGTAAGCCACTTTTTCAGAGAATAAATTACCAAACTAAAATTAATCCAAGTTTAAATAGTACAACGGAACAATAAGAAGAATATGTGGTCAATCAAAAACAAGTCTGAACAAGTTAATGTCATGTCATTTAGATCAAGGTGATTCATAAGTGATATGTATGTAAATTTGTGTGTACTGTTTAAGGATGAAAAATTGTGTGACCTTTATGGTGAGAAAGGATAGAGTTTAATTTGTAAGATGATAGTGTGAATTGTAAGTACAATCAAACTATGTGGCTAGGATAAATAGTCCATGTAGGATGTATGGTAAGGCCTTCTTTTCTATTGAGAGAAGTAGGATTCAGCATTATATGGAACGCTTCAGCTACTCTTCTTTATTTGTAATTAAATAAGCCTTTTTGTAATATGAGAATGGGTTTTGAGAAGATTTTAGAAATTTCACTGGTTGAAATCACCATGGAAAACCTGGAAGAACTCAACGGCCGTTTCGTCCTAGTATGGGACTCCTCAGCAGTGTGCGTCCACGATCCCGCACCCCACGAGACTCAAACCCAGGGCCTATCAGCCTCGCGCGAGGCGCTTAACCAACTAGACCACTGAGCCGGCATCCAACGGTGTTAATGTCTAACTTCAACTGATAGGTCCTGAGTTCGAATCTCGCGGGGCTGAGATTGTGGAGGAGTCCCATACTAGGACGAAACGGCCATCCAGTGCTTCCAGGTTTTCCATGGTAGTCTAGCTTCAATTGACTCATGATTTCAACCAGTGAAATGTTTTGTAATATTTTGGTATTTTTGAAATCAATTTGGTGGTCGTTGAAAATGGTATGAACTGCTATTGCCGATTTAATTTGAAGTTTACCCAGTTCTACGGGATTATTAGGAGGTTTCTTCGTGTACCTAATATGTTCTTTGGCTCTAGTCAAGATTTTTCGACATGATTCTCCAACATAGAAGGCATCACAATCGATACAACTTAATTTGTAGATGTAGTTATGTGTAGACAGGAAAGGGATTTTTTCTTTTAAGCGAACTACAGTATTTCGAAGTGTGTTCGTTGTTTTTCTGTGTTGTTTGAAGATTCTTTGTAGTTCTTCTTTTGTGCCATGACGGTATGGTAAAACTACAGTACCAGTCCATGGCATTTCATTCGAATTATTATTATTATTACGCACTGAACCGTCTTGTTTTAATATACTGCTAATAATCTTCATAGGAAAATTATTAAATTGTAAGATACTAGTAACATTCTTTTGGTCTTTTTTGTCGTCTTCTGATGTGATGATCTTATTAGCTCTTCTAAAAAGATTTTAGGCTAGCGAGATCTTAGCACTGAAAGGATGTGCTGAATGGTAGTCAATATAACGATTTGAATGCGTCGGCTTTCGGTAAACGGATAGGTTTAGAATTCCATTTGGATTTCTTTTTACTAAGCAATCCAAGAATGGTCGCTCATCATGTTCATTTTCATTCTCATTCGTGAATTTGATGTGAGATGAAAGTGTATTTATCCGTTTTGAAAAAGATCTTAGACGAGTCTTTTTATAACAACAAATGTATCGTCTACATATCTAAGCCAAATTCGTGGTATAATGTTGTGGGCGAAGATATTTGATTCTATGTATGCCATAAAAAGGTTGGCTACAATCGGGGACACGGGGGATCCCATCGCTACACCGTTAGTTTGTTTGAATAACATACCGTTAAAAGAAAATAGCGTTGAATTTAAGCAAAGTTTTAAGGATCTCATGATTAGACTGATGTTCAAAGGAATCTGTCAGATAGAGTATTGTCGTTCTCTAGTAAACCACTAATGAGTTCTAAACATTTATCAATATGAATAATGGTGTATAATGATACGACGTCAAAGCTTACCATGACCTCATTCTTCTCGATAATTAATTCCGATAATTTTTATTCAGTCATATGTATCTTTAATCATATTATATAAGTTAAGCTGTAGTGGCTTTAATATGTTGCTTAGATATTTTGATAACGCATATGTTGGTGTGTTGGTAAAGTCTAATATCGGTCTTAGAGGGATATCTGGTTTATGAATTTTCGGTAAACCATAAAACCGATGCAGAGCAAACTAAAGAAAGACATCAATGACTGTTTTTAGATCTTTCAGAAGTTGACTTCTTTCTGATTTGACTTTAGTTTTAATCGTCAGAGAATTTTTCGGATTGATTATTTCATATGGTCCTGTTGAGAGATGTTCAAGAGCTTTATTAATATAATCTGTTTTATTCATGACTACTATTGTGTTGCCTTTGTCGGCTATTGTGATGATAATCGTTTTGTCTTTTTGGGGTGAATGCAGAGCCTTCAATTCTTCTTTTGAAATGTTTGGTGTAAGGTGTTTTTGTTTAGTCGAAATGTGGGATGTCTTTTGACATAATGTTATGTTCGTTGAACTTGAATGCTACTACTAATCCGTCTTACTCGGAACGGAACGAAGAATTAAGGATTCAGAGACTCGATAGGCTATATTGGTCCGTTGTCCCCAACTCAGCCAACTCGATCCAGAAGTCTTGGTAAGATGTAGAAAGTGTATTCTACAGACAACCAGAAGATACCAGGTCCCTCAAGCACACAGATCAAGGGTATTTATACAAAATATATGTGATCGATATTGCCATGGAAATTTTTAAACATTTAATCAATAAGTTCGTCAATCGACTATGTGAATGGGTGGTAAGAAATGCCCAGGCTTACATCTGCATACAAGCTACACAAAGATAAAATTACAAAATATGAGTTTTGGGGATCTAACGTCCCCAACACTCCTCCCTTTTTTAATAACCTGCGTTCCTGGGGTCGACCTGCATCTTGACTGTTGCTCGCCGCTGTCGGAGAGGCCATCGTCTGGAACGTCATTCAGCTTGTTGTTGAGGTTTGTCTTGTGGTGGAGCTGCCGGTAAATTGGATGTGTCTAGAAGGATGTCAAGGGGAATATTTGCTTCGGTTGATGGGCGGTCTGGGACTAGCCGTTTGCGAGTTTTTTTCCGGTAGTTGTGCGATTAATGGTACTATAGTTGGAGCAACTTCAAGAGTACTAAGTGGTTTTTTATGTAAATTGAAATGTAATTCTTTCTTCAGTAGAGTGATTTCATGACTGGTTAAGCTTCTGTCTGAGGGATTATGAACAATTCTTCTTGAATCATTCGAATTAGGTTTTTTCTAAAAGTTTATGAAGTTAACCTTCATGGTGGATCTATATGAACTGGAAAAAACTCAAGCGTCATTTGACAGTTGTACTGTAAAGATTCTATGCTCAAAAACAGTATAAACCTATTATTTTATACGGATTGAGATCAAGACATGTGCAGATATTTAAGCATTATTCTAATAGTTTAGATGATTTACTATACTCGATTTATGTCACGGAATGACTATCAATCACTACTGATAGCTCTACTGATCACCACTGCTTACTAGAATTTTCGACCATCCATCTCATGACCTAGTCAATAGTGACCGCATGACTTTTTATCTAATTGGTTGGTCAGTGTTAGTAGAGATTGATAGACTCTGACTATTTTGTGGTCTACGTTATGGATTGATTGCAACTGGAAAACCCTTTAAACATATCAGGTGCTAGACAGCTTCTTCGTCCTAGAACTAGACTTCTCAGTGGGGCGCATTCACTATTAGGTCAGGGGTTGGACACAGTATTATCAGGCTCCAGGGTAAGCTCTTAACCTCTGATTCATTAAGCAAGTATCCGATGGATCATATTCCTAATTTAAATCAGTTCGCTTATTAGTTTGGAGATCTCATATTAGCTATGAAGTTCCAAACTACTATGATACCTGCTGAGATATTGAACCCTATGAAATCTTCAGAATTATACGTGCAGTTAACCGACGAGGTGTTCGTTTTGGTTTTGAAACACTTAATCAATATATAAGAATGTTGACATGATGCTTGAGGGATCTATTGAACAAGCCATTATTTAACATTGAAAACGGACCAATTGATGCAACAACTAGAAAATTCAGATACTTTAAACTAGTGTGGAAAGTAGAAACAACAAACACTTGTTCACTTACGCTGTACCATTTTTTAAACCAAATGGTTTTTTATCTTCATTCGCTTCTTGATATTGTCCATAACATTCTTTGATATCATCAGCGAAATAAACTGGAATCATACATGAATTCGATGGCATACGTAGCTGTCTTAAACGTGGCACACCAATTAAACGATTCTGATATAATAGGGTTAAGTTATTTGCCGTTGCAAATGGTTGCGTATTATACCATGTATTACTATACCAATTATTCATAATAGGACCTTGTATTACCTATAAAAAATATTTTATGAAAGCATTATGTATACAACTAGTAACTAAAAATGATGATAATAGCTTCAAATAATAAAATTAGGATGGTGGGTACAGGTGGATAATTCATTGTTGAAGCGGTGAGTTATGATTGTAAGTAGTCATTGCTTATCCCACTCCTAACACAACAATCATAAAAAGATGATGTCCACAACCAGTAATCCATGTGTTTCATTAGATTTCAACATCTTTGAATTATGACTCAGGGGTCTAAGGATTAAGCGTTTGCTCAAAAGATCGAAGGTCCTAGGTTCAAATATCATTTTCGAGGTCATGGGTGCATTCTACTTAGGAGGGCTATGCTAGGACGAAGTGATCATCTGACGCTTCCAGGTGTTCAATGTTTGTCTAACTTAGACAGGTTGGCGGCTTCAATATATTTTTGAGTGAGGTCCTGAGGAATTCATAACTCATTTCTTTCTTACTATTTTAACCGTTTTGTTCATACTGTCAGCGTGACATGAGAGATACATGGGACAACCTAAATATCCCGATGGATTAAAATTAGAAATTGATTTTATACTACTGATAAAATGTTTAGTAGTAAAACACTTTTAAGGAAAGAAAAACTTTAACTATTTTGCAAGGCACTCAAAAATGCCATCTTAACTTATACTTAGAAAAAGCATTCATAATAAAGAGAGAAAAGCAACTAAAAACTGTTCACTTACCGACCATAAAACATCAAGTGAACTAGCAGTACTTAATGAATCTGTTCCATTGGTTACTTGAGCTTGAAGAAACATAGTGTTCATACTGCTTGTCAATAAATAAGTATTTGAATTGAATGGTCCGTAAGCAACTGAAATTTAAACAAAGAAATTACAATACTTCCTTATTATTACTATCCGATAAATTATCATTTTTGAGTGGATCCACATTATTATTGTATAATTTTTTTCTGGTTAGTGTTTCTTTAGCGAATTAGTTTTCTACGGGATGGGTCGCTAACCCCATGCCCAACCCTCCTCCTTTATCCGGGCTTGGGGCCGGCAGTAGCCCCCGGAGGGACTCCAAGAGAAGTTCTACTGTATGGGGCGGAAGCCTGGAGAACTACGAAAGCCATCATCCAGAAGATACAGGTGTTTATTAACAGTTGTCTAAGCAAAATACTTCAGAGTCGTTGACCAGACACTATTAGCAACAACCTAATGTGGGAGAGAACAAACCAGATCCTAGCGGAGGAAGAGATTAGGAAGAAGCACTGGAAGTGGATAGGACGCGCATTGAGGAAATCACCCAACTGTGTCACAAGACAAGCCCTCACATGGAATCCTCATGGCCAAAGGAGGAGGAGAGGAAGAGCAAAGAACACATTACACCGGGAAATGGAGATGGACATGAGAAAAATGATTGAGAATTGGACGGAATTAGAAAAGAAGGCCCAGGACAGAGTGGGTTGGAGAATGCTGGTCGGCGGCCTATGCTCCATTAGGACTAACAGGCGTAATTAAAAAACGTATAGATAGTATCAATTTAGTATCATTATTAATTTTAATTTGTAACTCCAAATACTAATCCTAACTTCTCATACTAACACATAACCCTTTATCTGAAGTTTGTGTTGATGATGTCGTTCAAAAGAACGAGGAAAGCCTCACGACTAAAACATCCAGCTCAGAGAAAAAAACTCCATCAACATAATTCTCTTTTAACCCTAGTAAGTAAGTGAATATTCACATGGTCACTCTAACGTGGCTCGAACGTCGTCTAAAAATTTCAGTCTTGCCAACAACAATAATTATTTGAGAAATTTCTAACAAATTAATATAACTTACCAATCATTAGTGTAATAAGGAAAAATATATAAATCACTAATTCTCTCAATGTTGTATGTATATATAATTCTCTATTATCCATTGTATCCTCAGTTAATCTTGTTGCCCATGCACCTAGTTGGAATAGAAAAAACGTGAAATCTTTAATTAACATGTTAATATATATATGCATAGATAACATAAGTCTGTCAAACTATAGCCGAGTATAAAATCTATATTTTCATTGACATTATTCCGAAACTGCATCATCTCTGGAGCTTATTAGTTAGAGGTGGTCACTAGGAAACTCTGTTATTCGGGACACTAGTGACATAACGTCTCAGACTAGCTATCTGTGTAACCAATGTTCAAATTGACCAGAAAGTATTATTCTTCCGAAATTTTAGATACGTTTAGTTGACAGTATTTATTTGTTTGTTTGAACACATAAATGTTAGTATAAAAGGGTGCCGAATACATCCAACACCCCCAGATGGATCCTTTATATCGACCAACCTTTTCATCCTCTCAATTCCGCAAACAACACCCTTACAACGAGAAGGCAGTGAGTATAACTTTCCTGGCAGCGACTGTATGCACATGGCCATGCAAAAGCATTTCGAGAGGATCGGTCTCTCCCAGCTTTATCTTTACAAACCGTCCATACAAAATTTCTTCATGTAATCACCAGTTATTACATTCCAGAGAGAGTTTCTAGTGGTTTAATAAGAGACAGTGAATAGTGAAGTTTATCAATGTCGAGTATGAGGTAACTATCTATCCATCTATCACACATCTCTCTATCTATCTATCTACACATCTATCCATCTATCTGACAAATGCCACTTCTACTATTGTTGTCAACATCAGAATAGCTAACTTACTCCGAATACAGTGTGTAAAACGACTCCAACAACTATAACGATCTGAATCAGCATTATTTATGAATTGATTTGATTTTGTTTGTTGAGAATTCATTGGTTGAATTTCACTTTTATAATCTATATCATCAATATATTGTGGATTCATTAATGCTGTATTATCATAAGCCATTTGATTAAATTCATTCTCTGATAACATGAATTGTTTCTCTGATTTCTTAGATGCCATTTTCTAAATTTAAAAACATTAGCAAAACAAAAAAGAAGTAGAAAGTAAACGAAAATGTTTTGATACGTGTATGTCTGTTTTAACTTGTGACCTTTTGCCTTGTGTAACGTAATGATGCCGCCAATTACAGAACAGTAACTTACCAACCGGACCAATAATGCATAAATCCACACGAGCAGTCTAAAGTCTTTATCGGTCTTATCTTCCTGCTTAGCCCTGTATGTTGAGTTCAGAACACAAATCTCAACCTCCGAAATATGAATCATATATGACAAGCATACTGGGTTTATATACGAACCAAATAGACCACATCATACCATATAATAGAAAACAAAATTTATACAAATCTAGCCAAAAGTGATTGTGAATGTGGAAGACTGTAATTCACAGACTGAGCATAACTTAAAAACTAATTCGTATAACGTTAATCTGTGGGCCGAAATGAAGCTTGTAATGAGAAGAATATAGATACGCATAATCTAGTTACTGAATGGTTATACCATAAGAATATATAGATAATATTAGTCTATAAATGGATCCAAACAGTTACCATTCATTATTCTCGTCGGGATACATCAGCATCAATAATAATAAATGGTTTGAATGATCTCATTGTCGATATTCAGGAGTAAATTTGAGATATATGTACCTTGTGTGAATTACTTCGATACAGTTATTTTATAAAATGTTTTATAGAATAGATTGATTGTAGCTAGTAGTAGAACCAATGAGTAGTATTTCTAGTACTTACCAGCTGAACACACCCCTATATATGTTGATGATTATATCGGACATGTATCTAATACTTTTCACTTCAAACGCAAATATATCATTCATTAAAATACTGAGTTTGGCCAGGTTCGAGCTTGTACAATATGTAGCTGAGAGGATAACGCGATGGCGTTTGAAGCGAATGGTACTGGGTTCTAGTCCCAGAGTGAACATGAACTCTGACACAGGTACATCCAGCTGACGAGTCCCAAATAGGACGAAACGCGCGTCTTGGATTCCACTGTTAGCCACAATAGTTATGATATGTACATAATTATTGGTAAGATTTTGAATTTTCCAATTATTAATATTCAAAACTGTATTTTTGATGAGTTTTTGTTAAACAATTTCATGACTATAGGTATCAATGCCGAAGTTAAACTTCATAGTTTCAAATGAACTGAGCATGAAGTAGAAAGTTGTCCCAATGAGTAGAAAAATTGTGTTTCTGATATTTCGCAACTTAATATGAGCTACTTCTTCAGAGTAACTAAATAACCGACATTAAATTAACACAAGTTTAAATATTATATAGGAATTGATCTCGAATTTTTAGTCACTTTGAAGAAGTGGCTTAAATTAAGTTACGAAACATCAGAAATACAACTTTTCTAATTACTGTGATGTAACAAAAACTATGTTTATCATTGATTTCGTGGCTAATTAGACTCCATAACTCATTGGTCAACGTTCTGTTGTTTGAAAAGGTAAAACACTGTATTACGATCTTAATGTGAATACAACCAATAATATGTGAGCAGATTCAATTGACATGTCCTGAATAAGATTTCTAGCTACAATCCATCCATTAGGAAACAAAATGTTGACATATACATAGTTCATTTAAAGAAAAACCAACTAAATAAGTGTACCAACTCAAATGAATATCACATTATTTGAAGCTGAATCATTATTTTCTCTTCTTTTTGTGGTTATTATTATAATTGATGTGCTTGTGTTATGTACTACTTATAGAAACAGATATAAGTAGTATGTAGCAAGAATTGAATGTCAATTGTTTACCAGTAAAAGATTGAAATAAAGAAAACAGGAAACAAACTAGAGAGCAATCGGAATAACAATAACATTAGAAGAATGATGAAGTATATGTAAAGGACAATTCAAAGTAAATATACAAATGATGTATTCAATGAATAATTGGTAAGACTATAATTTATGGACGACCGTTGACCGACGTCGAAGTGACCTTCAAAGTGGACACCTACAGATTAGAACTAAATGATGGTTATAAAGCAATTAGAATTCTCATTTACAATTGATGGCTAAGGTTAAGAATTAGATTTAGGGTTTTCATCACGAATTGACATCAGCTATAATGTCAAAAGTCTATTTAGCCAAATGGATGGATGAGTTTTACGCCAAAATTTGTCACACCTTATCTTATATCTGATTGCTTCATCCATAAATTATAGTCTTGCCGACCCTGTGAACGATAATATTAAAGAGTATACAACCTCATAGTCAATAATCAACGGCTGAAATGTTCTAATTTCAGTTAATTTATTACTTTATTACATCATCTTCATTGACTGTCATTAGTGAGAATTAACTCATGCCCTATTCAATTACACTCATTGATTATAACTTCACAGTAGAATTTAGTGTGTGGATGATTATCACTGTTAGTAGAATATGGGACGGGTATCATGTTTGAAGGGAACCTATTCGTTCAGTGCAGATAGTTTGTTCAATAAATCTTTGTCTTCATTAGTTTCAAGAATGATTACTGAACTATTGTAGTAAACAAGAATGCCAGAATCTCTTACTAAAATCTGAGAAGTATACAGTAAATACTTCATTTGTAAAATATATCCACCAACTGTGTCAAACTTTATTGCTATTTCGTTTTCATACCAATCACTTTCGGTTATCGTTCTCTTCTCTACGATTTTCCTGACCTTCTAGCGCCAGGCATTTCACTTTTGATTGGTCATACATACTACTTATGTCTGTCAACATCAGTAAAACACACCACATTGTTACTAAGTAGTAATAGAAAAGTCTAACATTTTGTTATTTGTACCTTAATATAACAAATTATTAGAAAAACGAGACAAAGATTTGGTGACTAGTGTAAACTTGGAACTTGTGTTTTGGTTGAGTTTATTAAGGGAACATTAGTATGTGCTATAGAAAAAGCTAATACTTGTGCATATATGATCTGGTATCCATAGAACTCAAGTAACAAGGTTATCAACTTACCAATTTTCATAAATTACTTCGTGGTTCGATTGTAAACTGGGAGTCACTGAATAGAATTTTCATCTTAGTATGAGGCACCTAAACAGTGAACTTTCATGATTTCTCTGTTGAGGATCGAAGTCAGGACTTTCGATCTCGTGTACTAGCTCGTTACCTCTAAATCCTTGGTGAGGGTCGTGGATGCTTTTTATTGAAGTGCCCTATACTAGGACGAGATGGCTGATTTTCAGTTCATGTTTAACTAAGATTAATGCATGATATTATCTAGGAAAATTCAATAATCTTCACAAATCTTCATGAACTAAAAGTATTTTCAATACAGTGGAATAAAAGTCTTAAACAGAATAGTATTAAAGGGAAGCGGAGAAGAGGAAGGTCAAAGAACACATTACGTCAAGAAATAGAAGCAGATGTGAAAAGGATGAATAATAACTGGAAAAAAATTGAAAGGATTTCCCTAGACAGAGTTGGATGGAGAAAGCCGGTGGGATAACAGGCGTAAATAAGTAGTTAAGTAAGTACGTGACTCTACTACTTAGGATTTCCATGTTCTTTAAACTGAATTCATGTTTATCAACGTCCTCAATCGGTCTTATGAAAAAAGTAAAACATTTTCTGGACATTTAGATGTTGGACTTTAGAAAAATGTCCATCATTTATCGTTTCTAGTGTATCGTTCATTTCTATTCATTCGATTGCTGTTTTGCAAGTAAAATGTCATTATATCCTTCAATCTGTATAAAATATAGTAGAATTATTAAGTAGATTAGTGTGTTTCACTTTCAAACATTAATCTTGTCATTATTTAATGATAACAATGATCAATGCTAGACCATCATTGAAAATCTGGAAGCAATGGACGACCCTTTCGTCCCAGTATGAGACTCCTCAGTGGCAGTGTGCATCTACGATCCCACACGTGAGATTCAAGTCAAGAACTCTCGGTTTATTCATGATATCAATTTGAACTCAACAATCTCAACAACCCTATACTGATGATAACGATTTTGTTAGTCACGGGGAATTAAATAAGGACTTTTGAAATTTGTAAGGAAAAAAGACAATTCGTTCAATAGGTCTCATTTCTCCCTGAAGTTAATGTACACATAACATGTGCTTTATGTTTTTGTAAACAACATTTTCAATACATAATATATTTTATAGTTGAATTTGCAGGTCAATTAAAGTTAGACCACCATGGAAAACCTAAGAGCACCGGACGGTCGATTCGTATTAATATGGTACTCCTCAGCAGTGCACATCCACGATCGCGCCCGCGGGATTCAAACCCATGATCCATTGCCTTCGCGCGCGAACGCCTAGAAATTAACACTGCCGGGTTCGAGTCACTTTGGTGCGAGATCGTGAATGCACACTGCTGAAGAGTCTCATACTAGGACAAAACAGCTATCCAGTACTTTTAGGTTTTCCATGGTGATCTAACTTTAATTGACTCATGAATTCAGCCCTCGATATATTAAAATCTACACAAAACCCTCTTTCAGATAATATATTGTATGAGTTATTTGGTATTGGGTACTATAATTCAGCAGTTGATATGTATTGGCTATTTTCCTACACTTTATCACAGATTTTAGTCATAATGTCAGAAGAACTACTCAGTTTAGTTGCTTGATATTGAATCTTAATCTGAACAAATTTTATGTTGAAAGCTTAAAGAGTAAAAGTACTGATACCATTCATTTAAATACTCTTATTCTTAGGACAAGCCTGTTAATCTCCATTTGTAACTGGATTCGTTTAAAAAAATTCCATTTATTTCATAAAACATTACTGATATATAAAAGGTTTGTAAAGGTAATTGCATCACGGACTAGCTTTACCTTGACAACCAATGAAAATCAAGATGAACTAAACATCTGTCACGAAGCTATTGTACAGTGTTTCTATTAGGAAGTTGAAAAATTATCGATTTAATACCAAAAACTGATAGTACTACTACTACTACTACTGTGGTGTGTGCTACTTATATGGATATAAGTAGT